GCTGCTTTGAAGGCAAAAAACGACTTCTTAGCCAACGAGTTGGAATCCAAAAAACCCTATTCACGTAAAAGGGTCAAAATAGACGCCAACGACAGATTTGCTACTATTGACGAAATTGACGAGGCTCAAAAAGCTAGTCAAAAGCCTCCCAAGAAGAGATCCAAGAAGACCAAGTCCAGGCCTGCACACTTGGTCCAGGAAGCTGAAGAAATTATCGCCCGTGGGCTTGAGCAATATAGGGCGATTGACGAGGACTAGAATGTACTTTTTTCTATAGAATTTGGCCTACAATTGAGTATTTTGACGATTCTTGTGGTGGGCGGTGATGGTGGTGGGCGATTGCAAAGGGGGGCGATTGCATAAGTGGGTCGCCCTGTCTACATGTCGCAATCGCCCTCGACGTCCTTGCTGCTGTTGTAGTACAACTCGCCATTGAGAATGATTAGCGGCGGCCTGCAAAGGCTTCAGCCAGAGACAAAGGAGAACTATATACAACAGCGCGCCGCCAGGGAGACTGCGACGAGGCTAAACGACTTGCCGTCGAAGCTGCGGCCCAGGCCATCGGCCTTGACCTGCAGCTGGTTGTAGACCCAGACGTTGAAGAGCGAGCCGGCGGCGCCTGTCTCGTTAGAGAATCCGGCGTCTTTGACGGAAGCCGTCGTGAGGGCTGCGTCTTGGCCGGGCTAACGATGCTGTCGAGGATCACGGACCCGTTGGGCTGCCCCACGATGAAGTCATAGAAGGTCTTGAGCTGGTTTAGGTCGGTCGTCTTGCCGTCGATGCTGCCGTGTTCGGCTTGCAAGTGCTCCACGAAGGACGAGAACTACTCTGACTACTCCGTGGAGACGGCGACGTCTGCGGCGGCCATGATAAGAGAGGTGTGTGTGTGTGTGTGTGTGTGTGTGTGTGTGTGTGCGTGTGCGTGTGTGTGTGTTTGATCTCAAGATTGAAGGAGTGAGGCAATAGAGGGTGATCCAGATGAACAAAAGCTCTCGGCGGGCGCCAGCCTTTATAAATAGTCAACCACCCAGTCGGTTTAATTCTCGCAGACAGCACAACAACACCATAACATCTCCCTCTAGCTATGCCTCCGTCTCTGCATTGAGCTGAAACCGTAACGGCAGCTTCTAGAACCTCGCGCCCACAATGTCGCGTACACAAAACAAGCAGACTATATCCACTAGCCCGCCGCCGTATCTTGATTTCGTCTCTCAGGGAGGAAAGGAGGCTATCGCCGCATGAGCTGAGGCGGGACGGTTGGGTAACACGGAGGTGCTCTGGCTGGTCGAGAACGTCGGCCCTGTAGCGGGCGGCACAAGCGCCAGTGGGGATTGCCCGGCTCAAACTAGATACGGCGGCGGGGGCTGGCTGAAAAGACGGGCGCCGTGTAGGACGCTGCTGCAGGCTAGCCCTGAAGCGAGACTTGGGTCGTGAGAGAAAGAGGTCGAGATCGAAATCGACTGTATGTTTGTTGTTTTTCTTGTGTGCCGGGAGTCGGTCCTGCTGGACTTCTCGTGAGTAAATACGACAAAAGTGTATGGTTTCTCCTGTTTCTGGATTACCTCGAGCGCCGGTGCTAGGAGGTGCCGGTTTGAAAGGCTGATGCGGCTCTGGTAGTTTGTTGTTCTCTGACTTCGTAGGTTGCGTACGATATGGTTGTGTATTCTACGCACTCATCCGTAGATACTTAAAGCTTTCCCTCGAAAGCTGCAGGTACTGGCCTCGGGATTACAGAACAAATAAGCAACCAGGGCGGCTCTTCCGTCCGCTAAGTTGGCCTGCTGCTTGCCCTATCTGTCCAAGGTCGGGTACCTGTATCATCTAAAGGGGTGCCGTTACTGGGCTTAGGGCATATAGGCTTCTATTCCACAGTACCTTTCAACCTTCGGGGCTGCGAGGGGTAGAGACCCTACTTACCTAGTCCCCTTCTCGTAGTCAAGCGGCGAGCCTCATCACCAGGGGTAACGACCCGCTTAGCACCCCTCGCCTTTTGTCAAGTCCATTTTTCGAGTCTTGGCTTTATTGCCTTGTTTTTTTTTTTGCTTTTATCTTAACCAATTATTTACTTTCAATTAGTTTACTTTCTACGGGATTTCTTTAATTCTCAACCTCTAGTATACTCCATCTTCTTCAACAACCCTTGCCTTTTATCCTAAGACCCTGCGGCAGACGTGCATCTGACTCCGCCGCTGCAAACGGCCTACCACGTGCAGTTCGTTGCCAAGGCAGTGGATCGTGAGAGCAAATTGGTACCTGGTACTCGTCACGTAGCCTTCCTCGCCTGCAAGACTCTTCTGCGCGGTCTCAGATTACGGGCGTAATGGATTGCCAATAGAGGAACCGGCCACGACGACACGTGTGCTGCAGGAAGAATTAGCTATTCTAGGTGCTCGCCGGTGTGTGGTCTCGATGTCTGGAACCGAGTCATGGCGGCAGCTAATAAATAACGAACGAGGTCGTATTGGGTCACACACCTCTCAGCGGTGCAGGGCTCTATCTCTCATTTCCTACCAAGTACATTTTCCCACCATCAGTCTTCAATCACAACAATCAAACATCATGCTGATGCGCTTTTTCTGCTCTTTATCTATTTTGGATCTTTCTTTTTTTGCTACACCTTCGTAATCCTGACGAGGAACTAACCTTGGCAAATCATCTAAATAAATCACCATCTATCGACCTTGAAATGCTCGCCCTAGCACAATACCATGTTGTGTATGCGCTAGAGGGCACCATAGTTCGGGACTAGTTTCAGCGCCCAGACTCCTGCGATGGTGGTGCGATGGTGGCATCTTGAAGGTCATGAGCAAGATGGGAATTGTGACGGCGGTCAATAGCAAGAAGGAAAAGAATCGCTAATGTAGCTACACCATTGTCTAAGGATTATAAGGTGAAGAAGAAAAAAAGGAAAATCTACAAAGGTGCTGTTCAGTGTGCTGAGGTGTGCTGTTCAGTGTGCCAGGTAAGGTGGGGGCTGTGGAGCGCACGGGCCCACGGACCCACAGGGCTTTCAGGTGCCAAGCCCTCAGCCGGATTGGGACTAGTGCGGGGTCAGCTCCAAAGAGGAGCCGCACTGCTGGCGGTGCTGGCCGTGACAGGAATCTCGGAGCAGGGTTTCCCGTCTCGGTGTGCCACACCAAAAAGACGGTATTCTCAGCTAAAGTCTCTTGGCTGGGCGCAAGGCTCTGTGCGAAGGAGGCGCCTGTTGGAATGACAAGGTCATTCGTGCTGGTCAAGGCAAGAAGGCCTCTGGCGGCGAGACGGTTAGCGTTAGCGGCTGAAATCGGAAGGGGAACGAGGGAATTAGTCAAGGACTGGAATATGATCAGCAATATAACTGAAATTAAAAGCTATAGAACCATGGCAGACTTTCAGGTTGATTGCGAGTAGGTTGCCAGGAAATGAAAATTGGACAAGGTGAGAAGAAAACATTTGTGCTGTCACGGCCGGCTTGGAATGAGGGCGGAACTCCTCTATTGGGCGCTATAGACGAAGATTCTAAACTAAAGGGAAAAGGGAAAAGAAGCTCAAAAGCCTCCCCTCGCGAGATTCTTCCTGTTGGATTCAGCACCTCAACTTTCTTCATTTATCTCCCTCCTTGTTCTTTTTGGTCCTGCCAGAGGGCCTCTATTATAGTTGTAAATGGTGGCAATGGTGGTGGCAAAAGTAGCCACACCAGCTGAACTGGCCACTTCATTTCAGCTCCCCTGAGCCTCTTTTCACCTCGGATGACCACACCAGAGCTCAGCTGGGATGAGCTCTATTCCACATGCAACCCTTGTCCATCTGACAATAGCCAATCCAACACTTCCAGGGCGTCTCAAGGTGGGGCTCTGGCTGGTCGGGTGGATCCACCCAACTGGCGTCTGATTAGTCAGAGCGTCTGGGAGGCCTGGAGGACCAGGCCCTCACATGTGCCTCGTCCTTCATCTTGTGTAACACAGACTGTGAAACTGCCCCACAGCAAGACCTGTTGGAGTGGATAATGTGTGCGTTGGCTAGCTAATTCTAGGAGGAGGAAATCTCCTTATAAAACGTGTGGGCGAAATCTTTAGGGCGGGGCTAATGCCATGTGATTCATCACGTGTAGTGCAACCCCGCCGTAAGACCCACAATAAGAATTGTAGTCGTGCACGGACCATCTAAATTGCATGTAAAGCCGACTACCCGGCGGCCCTTCTTCCTTTTGTTTTCTTTCTTCATTGTATAGTAACTGTTCTTTTCCTAACCACACCTCTCCTATTTTTGGCTCTCGGTTCGGTTTCCCAACGGAAATCGAACCACTGTGTTCCTGGTATTACACTGCCTCTAGGTGACGCGAACATTCATTTTTTTTCATTGCACTCGCAGGCTGAGCTCGGGATGTGAGGAAGAAAAGAATATCCAGCAGTCTAATAGTAAATACTAATACGCGTGGGAAAGCAGCATGGCTACTGTGGTCGCTTCTACTATACAGGCAGGCACCATCTAGCACCATTGGGAAGAACCCGTGCGACGATCTGAAGCTTCCGCAGCAGAACTCGAGGTAACTACGACTAAACCATTAACCGCTGCCCGTAATGTGGCCATATGTATACGTCAAGATGCAATCCATAGTAGGTACTGCAGCCTGAAATCGGTTCAATAATTGCTCACGCCAGGATGACGGTTTTAAACGGTGCCTTTAGTTCTGCTCATTTCTTCAGGTATACCCAACCGACGGCTACGCGGAGAGAACAGCTCGCTTCTCTTCGCACAACGTAACTGGGAAGGGCGACAGCAGCTCCCCTTCGCAATCTTGAAAGGTGGCCCCCACCAGCTACTCTTTGTCGTGCACCCAGGGCCCAGCTAGTCCCAGCGCGGGGTTCTTCGACACCGAGATTGCCACGCACTCGAGCGTGCTACTTTACGTTTGTGCCGCAGCCAAAACAATCCCGCACTCTTCCATTATCTTCTATCACGTCCCCGATCTCGTGTCCCTCGTTATTCAACAAGGCCCAGTGGACAACGCGCACAGCCAGCTACGACACCTGCGCTCGAGCCGTCAGCATCCCGGGTTTCATAGCCACCTCTGAAGCGCTCAGATTTAGAGCTTCGCGAACGCTCCTCCGTGTCTCCTCTTGCCCAAAATTATCGTGCCAATAGTCGCCGTAGGTACACCACTTATTCTTGAGCAGCTCCTGGAGGCCTTCAAATTTTAACTTGGCCCAGCTCTGCGTCTCCTGCTGCTGGTCTTGACTTCTGCACACGGAAATCAGACCATGGCACAGGCTCATCGCCACCAGCACATGCGATTTATCCGCCGCATTCCAACTGAAAGCCCTCACGCCGACGCTGGCAGCCACGATGGGCTGAACATCAATACAACCCCCGACACCTGGTCGCGCCTTCTCGTCGGGCTCAATGTACACGGGTCGGAAACGGAGACACAATGTGTTGCAAGAATCGAGCTGGACGGATAAGCGGCCCACGTCCAGGATGGAAGCCCTAAGACCAAGCCGCTGCCAGGTGCGGCGTCGGCCAGTGCCTCTGTTCCCTCTTCCGCCGCTTGGCCATTCTCGTCTTGCTCTCCATTCTCGAATTTATCTAGCATTCTTGGCCATCGACCGCCAAGTCGTCCTCTGCGCCCTTTTCTGCCTCTGACGAGAGCGCGGGCGGCTCGCAAACTTGAAGTGTTGTAAGTGGAATGCCATACCTCTATTCCTGGGCAGCCCGGTGCAAAGAGACGCCATTTTCGACCATTTCGAGCGCATTCTATACGCACTCTTCGTCGTGGTCGCACATGATGATGATGCCTAGTCAATTCTGCGTCGAATACAGTAGAAAAGAAGAAATTTGGAAAAGAATTGGACAAGTCGTGCGTGTAGAAGCCGTGTGCGCGCGTGAAGGAAGTGCTGGCGTTGGTGGCTTGCACGCCATGTTCCGCTTCCAGCGTGTTCCGCTTTTGGCAGTGTGCAGGCCCAACTGTCCTAGTCCCCTGCACCTCACCTGTCCCACCCCACTTTTTTTGGTGTAAAGCTCAGCCGACCTGTCCCACCCCACGTAAGCCCCATATTTCTACTATTTAGGTACAGCGCCATAGCGCGCCCCGCAAACTGAGAATTTTAACACGTCGTCCAAGGCAATTGAACTTTAATATGTCTGTCTTGTCTGTCTGCTCGACACTGCTGGCTGGCGATGCATTGCTTGGCTAGCTTGGCTGACGGGTTGCGTAGCGAGATTCTTCTCAGCGCAGAAACTGGCGGGGGCGCGGCGGCAGCGGCGTCGGCACGTAGCGCTGGCGTTTGATGAGCTTCTCGCGCTCGAGGACAAACTGGACCGTGATTGGCGGCAGTGCCTGTTTGGCGCTAGGTATGCGGCGCTCGAGGCGCTCGATGAGGTGTTTCTGCTTCGCCGCGCCGTTGAGAATGCCGTCAATGGCGGCGACCACCTTGTCTTCGGCGGCTTTTTTGGCGGCGGCTGGGTCTAGCGGCTGTGTGAGCGAGTAGTGCACGAGGTATTTGGTGCCGTCGCGGGATTTTATCGCGGCGGCGGCTTGGCTAGAGCCCTTTGTGAGTATGACGGTGGCTCGATACCGGGGTTTGCGAACCGGGAGGAATGGTGGCACATGAAGAGGTGAGTGTCATCAGCTCCGCGAATTCCACATTACAATAATTGAACTGGTAATTAACGCCCAACCTTAAATTTACTCGACAGTAAAATACAAATAACGAATATAGCAAACAAGTGTGCTAAAAATACGAAGACAAAAAGAGAAAACGGCAAAAGAAATAAGATTTAGCAGCGACTCGTTTCGATCGAGTGACCTCCGGGTTATGAGCCCGGCGCGCTTCCGCTGCGCCACGCTGCTTTGTTTGCTTGTTGTTGTTAGGTACTTTAAAATAGAAATAAGAAACATTGCAAACGTGTTCGTGGTATTCCAACCACGTAGGTGTTCCAACGGGTCAAAAAGTGGTAGTACTACCGGGGGGGGGTGTAAAGTTGTTCTGATTCATTCTCTCCCCGGAACTAAGGTAGGTTCTGCTTGCGACCGGGGTTTTTGTGTGTGTGTGTGTGAGAGGTCCGCGCGCCGCACGTGCCTACTTGCACGTGCGTACTCGCGCGATCTCTGCTTCCTCCCTGCTAGTGTGCGGTCACCAGTATCGCTATTCCAACAAAACGAGTGTGCCAAAAATACAAAGACAAAAAGAGAAAACAGCAAAAGAAATAAGGTTTAGCAGCGACTCGTTTCGATCAAGTGACCTCCGGGTTATGAGCCCGGCGCGCTTCCGCTGCGCCACGCTGCTTTGTTTGCTTATTGTTGTTGAGTACTTGGGAACTATCGGTTCTAATGAAGGAAGGGCATGGAGAGAAGAAAAGAATTTTTAGGCATCATGGAAAGGGGGGGATGGGTGAGTCAGGCAAGGTGGAGATATAACTTTACTCCCTAACCGAGAGGCCATGGGACCATTGAGGACACTTTGGCTCACGGCCCACCTTTTCAAGATGTGCATACCCTTGGTTGCCTTTCTTTTGCTGTGTCTTTGAGCTGAGAAATTGAGAGAATTGACTGGTTTAGTAGTGATTGGGTAGTGTTGCACGCGATCGAAGTTGACAGCGCATTGAATTGTCTGCTCAATAGGTCTAAAAGTACAGAAAAGAACGCTTCCTTATACTCATGGAGAGAGGGCAAGGGAGGCGCAGCCCGAAAGAGGGCATTCCGAATGAAATGAGGACATTCCGAGTCAAGAATGAAGGAAATAACAAAGAATGAAGGAAGCTCAGAGGCATGTCAACCAGGGCCTGTCCAATTCCATGAAAAGTGGGTCAATTCCAGACGACAGGTAGCTTAAGCGGGCTCGCAAACATGGCGAAGGGAACTACAAATGCCGGCATCTACAGTGCTACATATAGTGATGTAAGTCAATCGACCCCACCCTCGCGCTCTGAGTAGTCTCCGCCGCCCTGCCAAAACTGCCTCGGACCGCTAACTCGTACGTATCATTGGCAGATCCCTGTGTGGCAGGCAGATCTCTGTGTGGCATAGCAGCGCCCTTACGCACTCGGCGCCGACCATCGTTTTTGATCGCAGTGACTGCGCCTCAATCACGATACCAACTGCCACCAAGGTTCCCAGACAGTTGCCATAGTGCAACACACGTCGCACTCTTGGGGCTGCGTTCGGTGCTGCTTTCAGCTCCCCAATGAAAGCCTACCTACCGTAAAGAGTAGGCCGGCGCGAGAAAGAAAATCAGCTACCACCATTTATTGCATCTTTTTACGCTGCAAATATCTGAAGCATCGAACAGAGAGATCGAAAGGTCAGCAGTGTCTAAGTGCACAGAAACAAAATCGTTGGCATAGGCTTACCTCAAAGTTACTCGACAGTTTCGCTGCAATCACCGCAGCCACATTCGATTCCGGATTCCTAGAAAGCGAACCTCTTCAAGCTGGCCAGCGCCCTCCCGTACATGCAACGGCCCTCGATCTCCATCGACGGCGCGCTAGCCTCACAATCCCCGTCGACTCTCCTCGCAGCATGACAGAGGCAGTTGGCAAGAAACGCAAACCGCAAGGCCTCGTCGGCATCGTCCAGGGGCGCAAGACCAACTGTGAAGGCGGTGTCAACCTTGTTTAGGATCGACCTAACCCACACGCACGCAAGAAATCCAAGCGCTTCATTCCCGAGAGAGAGACAGGCTGTCTAACATGCAGGAGGAGGAGGAGCAGACCGAAGGCTAAGGGGCTAGAAATGGGCCATCGTCTTACGATTCCCACCTTTTGGAAGTGCTGTCCGAGGAAGTGACGCATTTCCCTACCTAGGTGCGAGGGAGTTCTTGCTCATCGTCCTCGTCGCCATTGTTGTTCTCGTCGTCATCGCCCAGAAGCTTCCAGTAATGGCCCGACAGCACGTCTTGGTTCTGCCGCACTGAACTATTGCATTGCTTTGAGCAATCGGACGCTAGCAGTATTTTCAATCCGTAATTCGGAAACGGAGATCACTACGAGGGCGTCGGAGTTAGGCGGGCAGGAGAGAATCGTGCTGATGTGGTGCACATGCCTTGCCTTGGGGCAGAGTCTACTCATTTGCCACTGGGATGAAGCTCGACTCCCTGCCGGAGGAGTCTGTAGTTTGCGACTCTCGCGGCCGACCCAGTATTCTCGAGCACCCGACAGCGGTGGAACGAGTTTGAGCGTCGTTCGTAGCCGCCGCGAGCGAACATAGCGTTGCCCGTCACGCCATTGCGCCAGGTCTACACGTGGGGGGCTCAACATCGACGGCCAGATTTGTCAGGGGGGTGACGAGGTCAAGACAGCGACGTTGCTCAACCACTCTTCCATACATGCGAAGAAGAATGTGCTGAGCTTCCAGGATCGCACTCCAGAGCAAAGGCGCCTAGATGCCCAAGAACGGCGGCTCCTGGAAGAGGTCCAGCAGATGAGTCTCCGGGAAGGTGGCGACGGGCTGCGGCAACTGTTAGCAGCTGCTCCTACCACCAAGTTGATTTGCGGTATGGCGGAGAGCCAAGGAGCTTGAGCCTCGACGCTAACCACCTGGTGACGTGGGATGGCGAGGGCGAGTTCAACCTGGCCGGGAAGGTCGGCCAACTGGGCGTACAGCGGCAACGGGGGAAAATAGGAAAATTGAAGCCGTTTCTGTAGCCCGTGTAAAAGGTAGACGTAAAGAAGCAGCCTAGCAAAAGGGAGGCTTCTATTTCGCGACGAAACGGTGATGCGCTCGACAAATTCGACGAGTCCCTAGCAAATCGCCATAGAGAGCTACTATGGGCCTACAAGGGCCGTCGAATATATGGAGGGTTTTGGCTCATTCGATTTTGCCCTCGCTCATTCTGCGCGACGGTCGGTTATTGAGAAAAGGTGAGCCGCCTTTCGCGGTCTAGACTTTCGCCTCGTGCATGATTGAGAACCTTGGGAACCGCAGCTTGGGAAAGAGCGGCTTAAGGGTAGCGACCTCGAGAGCCATTGCGCCGATGACCCAGATATCCAGATGGACTCGACATGCGCCGCCCGTGGCTTTTTGGTACATGTCCTCGTTGATGTTCTGGTCCCACGTGCGAAGACGGCGGATGTCGACCTTGCCCGACTCAGTGAGGGGCATCACGTCCAGCACAATTTAGATATCCGGCACGGCTTCGGACGGGCTCGAGCGTCTCTGCGTACTGTGACTGACGGGCACAGGGCGAGATGGAACTGCCATCTGTGTTTGGAGCGATGCAAATGCCCGTGCCACAATCCCTGCGCTGGACGAGGGCCTGAAGTTTTCCCCGGCATGGCCAGCCGTCACGAAGCTATCCGAAAGCCTGGTTGAGGGCCGCAAGAGCTTCTTGGTGTGATGGGGACTCACCAACGTTGAGGCTGCCTTGAGAGTGATTTTGTTAGTTGAGATATGTAGGTTGGTTGATGGCCAGCCTAGGGAGGTTGTAACTCTATGACGGACTCGTGCTGTCTCGGCCTTCCTTGGTGTATATGTAGGTCAATGATGGTGGTGTCTGTGGTGGCGACGGCGGGGATCGCGGCGCAGAAGGTCGCCGTGGACGTGGCCGTGGCCGCCGGCGTGCGGCGCTTCGTGCCGTCCGAGTTTGGCATCAACACATGCCGCGTCGGCGGCACGCCCATCGGCGCCATCCTCGCTGGCAAGATGGCCATTGTCAACTATCTAAAAGAGCAGGCGGCTGCGCACCCGGCCCTCTCGTGGACCGGCCTGTCGACGGGCCTGTTCTGCGACTGGGTAGGGGCAGACAGACACACAGGGACCCTGAATGAATGGATACTGACGCACGAGCCACGCAAGCCCTCGAGCGCCAAACACTAGGCTTCAGCGTCAAGGACAAGACGGCGATAGTAGAACCCGAGCGTGTAGGCTGTGAGGGCGATCCTGAAGGGTCTTGGAGATGCCGAGAACACTACATCTAACTTAGTAGCAAAGAAACATGGGTGACATAGGACCGAAGGCTGTCGTGATACTGTTTGTTATGGAGGTTGGCATTGTCCTAAGTCCAAGGGGGCCGGAAACACCCCCGTTAATTTCCAGCCGTGAATCGCATATGTGTATGAAGTCATCAACTCCAGTTGTCGGGGCATTGGGGGACCTGCTGCGTTGTTCACACAAGCAACCTCTCAGAGCCCATTGCAACTTCATTCTTAACCTATCAATCTACTCATCATCACCTGTTCTCCAACATATCCCCTCATGGCTACCACTACCACCTTGGCGGGCGCTCCCCCATTGAACCCCCCTGTTTCTTCTATTTTTCGTTGGGGTTTGCCTTTTCCTTCTTACCCCATGCCCATGTCCATGTATTGCCCACACACATGCGCCCACACACATGCCCCCGGACCCCTGGGTCGTCGGGCTGGAATATCCAAGCAAACAGTTGCCGGTGCTGCTGCCACATATTGTCGAATGCGGGGGCCCCAGGGGAGGGTATGCTGGAGGAGATAGTGGCTAGGGTTTGGTCTGGCGTGTTGGGCTCGTTAGTCATGTGGTGGAAGAGCATGGCTGGTGATGGTGGCGGTGGTGCTGGTGCAGGGACGGTCGGCAGGTTGTGGTCTTGCCGCCTGCTCAGCCCAGAGCGACGCCATGCCGGCTCGACGCGGATGTGTTCTACGAGTAGTAGATCGCCGCGGCCGAGCTCGGTACCCCAGATGCCACCAGGGAGTATCAAAGGCTCGGCTTGGGCGGCAAAAAAACCTAATTGTCAACTTGGGCCGCCTAAACTATGTTTGTATTAATCAAGATTAACTTATAACCACGAACTCCCACCCTCGAGTGACCAAACTACATTACCTCCAGCGCGTACGACAGTCTTTTATCGATGGTGGCTCCTCAATTTGATCCGCTGTCACCACTCCATGCTCATGCCACATGGCTCTGTGATATACGTCTCCCAGACCTGGTACCCCCCCGCGAGGTAGCCTCTCTCTTAGCAGCCGGCGTGAGAGACTACTCCGGGCAGTCCCCCCAGGCCTGCTCCGCGAGCCCTTCGTTCCCTACATTCCAGATTGCGTCCCCACAATTGTCTGCCGATTTCCCCGCCGGGCCAAGACGGTTTTGGGTGCTCGCCGCCATGCTAAGGCTCACAAGCGTCTCCGACTTCTGGGGATTTGGAAAGAGAACCGAGAAAATGGGCTTTCTATCTCCCTACCCTGTTGAGCGAGGCAGCAAGTGTCCATGCTTGTATGCACTGTGGAGAGGGGAACTAATATAGTCACTATCAACTATAACAGAATAAGGAGAAGGCAAATGAGAGAGGGGGACTGACATGGTCACCACCAGCCACAATGGAAATAAGGAGGTAAAGGAGAGAAAGTAAGGGAGGGAGAGATAATATAGTTACTACTAGCTACAATAGAAACAAGGAGGCAAAGGAGAGAAGGCAAAGGAGGGATGGATGACATGGTCACCACCAGCCACAACAGGAACAAGAGTAGGTAAAGGAGAGAAGTTAAAGGAGAGAGGGACTAACGTGGTTACTACCAACTACAACAGAACAAGAAGGCAAAGGAGAGAGGGATAGATATAGTAGCATCACTAGCTGTAGCACAAACAAGAAGAAGGTAAACGACATACCCTCTCCCTAACGAGCCGTCAGTAGCAGCAGTACAAATGAGAGAAGGCAAAGGAGAGAGAGGGATAGATGTAGTGGCACCACCAACTACAACACGCACAAGAAGTCAAAGGATAGAAGGGGAGTGATATGGTCACTACCAACTAGACGTGGCGACCCAACAAAGAAATCGCCCCACAACGAAATTGGCCCACGCCATGCCCACACCCACTCCACGGGCGCAAATTATCCATTTCTACACAAAATAACTAGCAAAAAAATACTCAATCCTCTTCTTCGGCCTGTCTATATTGTTCGAGCCCACGGGCGATTATTTCCCGGGCTTCTTCGACTGCATGTGGCTGGCTTTCTGCCCGAGCCGTTTTTTTCCGCTTTGGGGGTATTTGACTAGCTTTTTGTGCCTTGGCGATGTCCTCTATACGTGCAAATCGCTCATTTCCATCTTCATATACCCTCTTACGCGTGCGAGGCTTTGAAGCCTCTAATTCGGTTGTGAGATGCGTAATTTGTGCCTTCAAAGACGCGATCTCTGTATTCTTCAGATCCAGGGACCTCCCGACCTTAGTAAACAAGGCCCGCACACGCCGCTGAGCCGGACTGAGGGCATTCCGAATACTGTCCTGGTACTTCTTGATGTCCTGACTGCCGTGCGGTGTTTTGAAGAGCCTGTCATCGTCGTTCGGGGCCGTCGGCGGCGGTGTTGAAGGCCGGGCCGGGAGTGCCTCATTGTCCTTGACCGCCTCAGGGTCATCAAGTAAACAAGCCGGGTTGAAGGGCCAAATCCCGGTTTTACTGAAGCCCGACATGATGTTACGGGCACTCATGCCTTTACCCGAGGCATCTCTGTAGCAGTAAAGGAACCGAACCTTGTTGACAGGAGCTGACGATGTGAAGCTCGCGAGGGCCTTGGTATTTTCCCTAAAATAGGTCTTTAAAGGTGAAAAGACCGAGCGATCGAGAGGCTGAGACTTGTGCGATGTATGAGAAGGTAAATAGACGAACTGGACCTTATTTTGGAAGGCCGCTAACATGAATTTTTCGTTCATATGGCTCGAATGTTCGTCAAGGATCAGTATACGCCATTCGCCCGGCCTTTGGGGCTTTGTTTGGATCAGGTAGACCTCTTTGAGCCATTTCAGCGCAATACTGGCGTTGCTCCAGCCTGTAATTGAGTAATCGTACTTCCATTCCCGGAATTCCTTCGTCAGGTTGAAGTTATCAGGAAAGTGTTGTCCTTGAAGACTGGCCCCGGTAAATATGATCACGGGCTTCAAACGAACGCCCTCAGCAGTGCCGCATTCGATAACTGAAACCCAGGTTGTTGCATCAGAGCTTTTCACGTAGGTTCGGTTCGTCAGGGAGCTTCCTATGACCTTTCCGGCCCGGGTCTCGAGCTCCTGCATGCCGTGCTCATCCATGTTAGCGATGTTGGCCGGGATGACCTTTTTATCCTTGATTTGGAAGGCCAGGCGCTTGAAGAAAGCTTCATAAGCTTCACGAGTAGATCCGCAGACTCGAGAGGATTCCAACAAGGTTGAATTCTTCATCTTTACCGCCGGGTTGCGGCGTAGGAAGCGGTCCACATATCGCTCCCCAATGGTCTTTTTCGTGCCGGCCTCATTGAGTATAGCTTGAGCGAATCTCTGCACCTGACGACGGCTAGGAGCCCTGCCTGCAGCCTCCTCATTGAGGCACCAGTCGGCTAGGAAGCTTTCCTGCGCATTGGAGAGGTTTCTTTCGGCTTGTTTACTTTGTGCTCGATTTTCTGCCCCGTGGATGCGTTTGCAGAGGGTAGAAGGAGGGATCCCGAAGTCATGCGCGGCCTGCTTCTGCGATGCGCCCTGTTCAACTGCAAGTATTGCAGATTGAATTAGCTGCTCTCGACGGTTCGACATGATGTATTTTGAGCTATTCGAGCCTGAATTGATGAAGTTGTGTTGTGTTGAAGTTGAAGGGCGGGATATTAGATGACAGGGGCAGAGATTTCGTTGTGGGGCGATTTCTTTGTTGGGTCGCCACGTCTATAAAAAAGAGCTAACCCAATAACGAAATCGCCCATCAACGAAATTAACCCATACCAATGCCCACACCCACCCCACGGGCACAAATTATCCATTTCTACACGAAATAACTAGCTGAAAAGTACTTAATCCTCTTCTTCAGCCTCTCTGTATTGCTCAAGCCCACGGGCGATTATTTCCTAGGCTTCTTCGACTGTATGTGGCTGATCTGGTGCCCAGGCTAGTCTTTTTCGCTTGGGGGGCATTCGACTGGCGTTTTGGGCCTTGTAATTGTCCTGAATACGTGCAAATTTCTCATTTCCATCTTCGTCCATATGGCTCAAATGTTCAAGGATCAATATACGCCATTCGCCCGGCGTTTGGGGCACTATTTGGATCAGGTAGACCTCCTTGAGCCATTTCAAAGCGATTTTCTGCGCCATGGATGCGTTTGGAGAGAGTCGAGGCAGGGATGCCATGTAACTTAGCGGCGTCCTTCTGCGAAGCGCCCTGCTCGACAGCAAATATTGCAGCTTCAATGGCTGCTCGCGACGGTCCGACATGGTCCGACTCTTTGAGCAGCAGTACCGCGCCCTTTTTGGTAACGTGTGTGATAAGCGAGATGAACAGACAAGCGAGTTGAACAATTTCCACAACCTCACCACAACTACCCTCAATTACACAACCACAACACTAGGAAATAACAATAACTGAATCGGAAACAGATGAATCAGACGATTCTGCAGCCTCCTTGCACGTACGTGCATTATGGCCAGGCTTGCCGCATACGCCACAGCATCGAATCTTCGTACGAGACCCCCCTGCACCACCACCATTTTGTCGTGTTTCCTGGACCAACTGCCCACCCACAGCCTTCTGATCCAGTAGATCCTGTGCCTCTTGTACAGTAAGTGATCCTCCAAGCCGAACACGTGTTTTCTTGGCTCTCCGTCGCTTACTAAGCCCCTCATTGGCCTTCCGAAGTGCTGAGACCTCTGTACGCAAAAGAGCCACCTCGTGCATCATAGCCATCGTACCTTTAGCTAATCGATCCACAGCAGTCAGCATTGGTGTTGGAGAGCTGCCCTGATGGTTGGAAATTCGAGTTTTGATGAACGCTGACTGTGAGGCAGCCTCTCTCGGGTTTTGTGGCGTTTGGGAGACCCAAGGTAGCGATGTAGTTGGGCTTGTAGCTGGGGGTGTTGGAGTCCGAATACGCACATCCAGCTTGGATATCACCCTCTCTGGATCGTACGGCACAAGGCCGGCTCCAGCAAACCCCCCCTGGATATTCCTTTCCGTAACCGAAGCAAAAAACGCCTCTCTAAACCCACAAAGAAACTCCAGCTTGCTAATATGTGTGATGTTCATCCGCATCAGCTGCTCAATCTGACAGCCGTACGCCTTCTTCAACGGCCCAAAGCAACCAACATCCAATGGCTGAAGTAGGTGTGAAGAGTGCGGAGGCATACAGAGTGTGATGATGTTGTGCTCCCGGCAGTAAGTCTCGAATTCTTCGGAGTGGTGGCTATCGTGGCCGTCGAGAATTAACAGTCGGTATATTCCCTTCGTACGAGATGCTGTGTGGAAATCGAAGTGCCGAATCCAATCCATGCCTTTCTCATTAGTAGTCCAGCCATTGTCGGTTGTTGCGATACGCCAGGTACCCGGAAGGTTGCACTCTTGATACCAGTTAGCAAGGTGATATTGCCCAGCTAAGATAATGAATGGTGGGATAGTCCAGCCTAGAGCATTCACTCCTTGGATGACTGTAGCCCACTCTCGATTACCAGGCTGGGCTTGCTTAGCCCTACCACGGCCATCAGAGGTAGTAACTACCATAGCGGGGATGATAATGCCCATCATAAAGCCAGTCTCGTCGAAATTGTACAAATCTTCGTCAAGGATACCGTACTTGGCCTTCGTGTTGTGCACAAGCGCAAACCACTCGCGAATAACTTTTGGATCTTCGCATTTGGCCCTCTGGTAGTCGTATTTACGCGTAAAACGCGTCCGAAGTTCTGGCTGGCGCTTGACGAAGTTGTGAGCCCAGCGTGTACCGACAGAGGGCGCGTCGCGTTCGCGTAGCAATCGATTGGCCATATCTTCTACGTACGAAAGCCGGGGATGAAATGCGCGCGCACATAGCTCAATGATGTACTGAACAATCGTTTTCTCTTCCAAATCCGTAAGCTTACGCGAATTGGCTGGAGTATCACGTCGTGCAGGTTTGCCGTCGCGTCGGTTGCGTATAGTATTTACCGTGACTTGATATGTTGTTGCTGCAGCTCGAATACTGAGTTTTGGGTCGTTTTGAATAGCCCTGAGGGCCAAATTCACCCTAGCTTCGTATGAAGGAAGAGACATTTGAGTTTGTTGAGGAATTTGGTGTTTTGTAGAGAGGAGGCGCGTCGCGTCAAAAGTGTTCAACTCGCTTGTCTGTTCATCTCGCTTATCACACACGTTAATGAAGTTGTGGTGTTTTGAAGTTGTGGCCGTATTTGGTTTAGAATAGAAAAATGAGTTTTGCAGAAGGGTGCAAAAGATTAAAAAGGCAAAAAGCTCAGGCCCGGGAACACTTTGGTTCGAACCGAAGACCTTACGAAAACTGATGGCCTACCTCCTTACCAACGCAGGGGCACGGCGAACGTTTTCATAGTCGCAAAAGAGAATGCAGCAGGGCGTGCGCACCTCCAGACCGCTTGACCAAGGCGCCTCCTTGGGGGCCCAACTTGACGGATAGTGCTGCAAAACTGACCCATATACCTACCTACCTCCCGTAACGGTACAGCCCTCGTCGTATCGTCACGGCCTCACCGTACCGAAACGTCCTCCTCGTCGGTGTCACGGTCGCCAGACACATGACAGGATTGATTCCATCGGCCGCATTGTGTTTAGAGTGTGGTCTGTGCGCGTCGCCACCTACGTGCTCAGCACCGCCAGCCGTGTGACCCCTCTTTGGGACTGACCCCGCACCAGTCCAAACCGGGCTGAGAGCTTGGCACCTGCAAGCCCTGTGAGCCCGTGCGCTCTCCAGCTCCCACCTAACCTGGCACACTGAACAGCACCTTGGTAAATTTGCTTTTCTTTCTTCTTCATCTTGGAATCCTTAGACAACGGTATAGCTATATTAGCGATCCTTTTCCTTCTTACCATTGACCGCCGTCACAGAGCTCGTTTAAGTGCTGCGTGTTTCTCAAGCACATCAATGCCTCGGTCGTGACCCGCTGTGACGGCGTTTAGCAACACCCACTACCGCTGCACCACACCTTCCAAAAGGATGCCAGAATTACAAGCCGTCAGGCTGCAATTCTATAGTGGGTTATATAGTATGGTCACGCACCCGTAGGGCCTCAGCGCCTACCGCCGTGCCGTGACACCCGCGCGCTGCTTTCGGCCATCGAATCGTCGGCTATCAAATCTCGCCCCTCGCCGCTCTGTTACCTCCACCTGGTCCAGGGTGGCCAAGCAATTAGCTAGGTGGCGGCCGACGCAACTGCCTTCGGCTGCCGCGACTGGGACTTTGCCTATGTTGTGACTGGCATGTGGCCGCGCGACAGCGACGACAATGGGACGGACGCAGCCCAAGCCGCCGAGGACTGGGTTTATAAGGCCGTCAATACCCTGCTGCCTATCAGCCAGGGCGTGTACAGCGCCGACCTAGGCCCCGACCCCCGGGACGCCCCTCTAGCCGTGCGAGCCTTCGGCCCCAACCTGCGGCGCCTGGCCCGCATCAAGAGTCACCTGGACCCGCACAACACGCTCGCCTACACGTGTCTACACCTTAAGACGCCCAAGTTCATCATCTTCGTCACGGGCGAGACTGTAAGAGAAGGCAGGTACGCCGGATCAAGGTGGTCACAATGGAGGCAACAGAGAGGGCGAGCAATGACTGGTATTGGTGTAAGACTTCAACCTGGCCCTCGCAAAGGAAGGAGGCGAGGGCCACTGTTTATATACATACTCAAGGGCTCGGTCCCGGGTGTGCTTGTGAAGGCCGGGCGCCCTGCGTTAGCTTAATGGCTCATGCCAGCCGGCAGCAGTCTGGCCAGTGGGTGCCAGGTGGTGGGGGCACGCAACGGTCTGCGCGTTGACAGGTGCTTCTTTCTTTACAGAGAGCGGCGCCGGCAAGGACTACTGCGCAGCCATCTGGGCCGAGCGGCAGACGAACCCACACAACAACCCGCAGCGACGTCTCAAGACACGCGTAGCCAGTGTCACGGCCAGCACCGCGAGCAGTGCGACCCCTCTTTAGAGCTGACCCCGCACTAGCATCAGCGACGCGTTTAAGAGGGAGCACGCCACCGCTTTGGACGCTGACTACGACCGCCTCCTAGCCGACCGCAGCTACAAAGAACAGCACCGCACCGCGATGGACGCGCTATTCAGGCAGCAGATTCAGCAGCGGCTTGCGCTGCCTGCGGAGCGCTTCTAGGACGTCGTGTACGGCAACGCCAACATCGACGTGCTGCTAGTAGCAGGCATGCGGGATGCTGCGCCGGTGGCCGCATTTGCACACTTGCGTGCCACAGCCGCGTCGTCAACATCCGCGTAACAGCAGCCAAGACGACACTATTACACACTACTCGACTGTAAGGGTCATCTTTCTGTAAGGGAGCAGAGGCTCCATAGATTTTTGAGGTTAGTAATTGTGAAGATAAAATAAAGAGCTAGCTCCTATCGCACGGGTAATACAGTCAAATCAGAATGCCACTCAAAGTGTACGAGTGCAGTGAATGTGTATTGCTTGCTTGAAGAATCAAGCAAGAGCTATCTAGAACTGTGGTTACGGTCATCGTATATATCCAAGGTAGACCAATAAGAGCGCTTGCCAGGTGCCAAGTCCATGCCCGGTGCCGGGCACCGCTGGCTCGCCGGACAACCTTCTTGCCTGGTGCCAAGTCCATGCTTAGCACCAGGCAGCTTCCTATTGGCTGCGTCCCTCAGGGACCCTCAGGGCGCTCAGCAGCACCCCGCTCCTGCGGTCTGTCCAGCACGAACCAGGTTCGTCACATGGGGCTGATGGGGTCTTGAGGGTGTTGTTCTTGTCCAACAGGGTAAAGGCTCTCACGGGGACGGGTTGCGGTATGACTGGAACTTCTCTCTTCGGCTCTCGTAGTGCTGCTTCATCTCTTTGCTCGGCCACTCGGGGGCCTCCTTGCCTTGAGCTAGCGTATATAGCTGCTGTGATATGATTCCTTCGTTGTCGACTAGTCTTTGAGGAAGTGTTGGGGTTGGTACCGAGGGTCTTGTCGAAGAAGGTGCAGATTTTTCTTCTACATACATCAATTAACACACACTGCGAATACCCTCATTCTTGACTGTTTTGCATGCTATTTGGCTTCTGAGAGTTATGAGCCCGGGAGCTACATGTTCCAATACAACGACACGCATTTATTGAAGTCTCTATTCCGACAGATCAGTCCACGCGCGCATCGCACAAAAAACAAGATGACAACTAAAGAAAAGATAGTAGAAGATGACAAGGAAAGAAAAGACAGTCGCCCCGGATGGCCCCGACGACTGGCACGCATGGAACAAAACCTTCATCAGTAAGGCCGTCGTCGCCGACATCTGGCCTCTCATCCACCCCACCCCCGAAGAATGCGCCAAGTTCCTGCAGGTCCGCTTCGTTGTAAGAGAAGAAAAGGAGAGCGCGATAAATATAAGAAGTGCTTCTTTTTTTTCTGGTTGGTTTTGCAAGGGGTTTTTTTTTGTTTCTTGGGGGGTTTTGTTGAGAAGGACACCCACGACAGTCTCGTCGCCGTCGGATTGACTTAGGCATCCCTGGTGCTGCTGCAGCCGTGTGTTCTCCGTGGTGCTGCTGCTGCTCTTTGTTCTGCGTGGTGCTGCTGCGGTGTGTTCTCCATAGTGCTGCTGCGGCGGTGCGTTCTCCGTGGTGCTGATGCGGCTTTGTGTTCTCCATGGTGCTAATGTGGCTCTTTTTTCTTCTTCTGCTGCGGCGGTGTGCTCTCCGTAGTGCTGATGCGGCTCTTTGTTCTTCTCCGTGGTGCTGCCGTGGCCGTGTTCTCTGTGGTGCTGCTGCGGCGGTGCGTTCGCTTGGTGCTGCTGCGGCTCTTTGTTCTTCTTCTTCTCCGTCTGCTGCTGCGGTGGTCGCGACTTGGCCGAGAGAAGAGCCTTGTTGCCGCAGCGTATTGTGCATTCACTTAGTGCTACCGCAGCCTGTAGTCGCTTACACGCTCCCAGCCCCAGAGCCCCAACGGTTGTCGTTGTGCTAGCACTCGTTCAAGCTCAAGCCCAGCGTCAAGGGGAGAGGCAGGCGAGGGAGAGCCAGAAGGCTCGAGGACCTGCCATTGCACAAAGAGAGCACTGCCGTGTCTGCTCCTGGCGTCGCTGGTGCTAGCATATGGATGCGCGTTGTTCTAACAGTTAGCTATTATAATGCAATGCGCTGTCCCGTAACTTTTCAAAGCCTGATTAGACCCTTACGATACAATATACACCAAAAGCCATAGGCATCTGCTCTCGAACAAATCTTGTCCACCGATATTCAACTAACCAAGTTAGTGTCCTCTACTCCTTGGCATCGGCATAGTCGACGCCTATCCTCGTCCGCCCCGACACGCCCGCCCGCCATGATGCCGAAGCGATAGCGGCGGCCCATCTGCTCCATCCGGCGGTTACGATCGGCGCCGCCCAGGCGCGCCGGGCCCTCGCAGTTGCACAGCAGGCGCGCCAAACGTGGACGCCGGCTGCTGCTGCTGCTGCTGCTGTTGCTGCTGGTCATTCTGGCCGAAGCCGAAGCTTCCGTTACCAAACGACATGGCGGTCATAGTAGTGTCGATGCCCGTTGTCAGCGATGGCCTTTGCGTTGATTCCCCAGCTGTGAAAGCTGGTGATGTTGATTCCCCAGCTGTGAAAGCTGGTGATTGACTTTGAGGTGAGCGCGGACCGGCGGCACAACGCCGAGGAGGTCGTAGCGTGGGCGGCGCGTTGCGTGGCGGTTCGTTGTGTTTCGCGCTGGTTGCTCAGCGTGCGCACTCTCAGAAGCCAAATAGCATGCAAAACAGTCAAGAATGAGGGTATTCGCAGTGTGTGTTAATTGATGTGTGTAGAAGAAAATGTCTGCCCTGCATCATACACGATTTAGGTAGGTCTTTCTGACAGTAGGCATTTGGAGCCAAGGTTCCCGCCTCTATGCCGGATCGTTCGCGTCGAAATCATCCAATTGTGTTGGATTCACCAGGGTACCGGTACTGGACTCAACAGGGCGTGGCTGCACGCCGAAAACTGGTGGTTCAAGTGATGGATTGTAGATGTCTGTTCTTCTCTCTAGCTTTCTGGCAGTGCCAGAAAGCCCGTTCTTATACTACTATTGTGGTGGCGAAGTTGGTGGCGAAGTCTCTATCTAGAACCTTCGAGGCCCTTCTGCTTGAAAAATTCCAACACTGGCAGTTTTCTCTTTTGAGGCTGGAAAGCTGCCCTTATATAACTGCCACTATCTACACCCCCGGGATCACTGCTTCCACCCGGGTCTTCCTTACCGGGAGACCCACCCTTCCATACGGACCGTAAGGCTATTACCGTCGATGAACCGTTCTAGGGCCCGGTTCGGTACGGCCTTGGTCAGGGCGTCGGCGGGGCTATCGTCGCCGTGGATCCACCTGACCTCGTGTAGCTCACGGCGCTCGTACGACTGCCGTAGGGCCATAATGTCGATCATTAGCCTCTTCTCTTTCGTTGTCCCTAGCTTGACAAGGCATTCGTATAGCGAGTATGAGTCTGTACAGACGACCCTAGGGACTGTCGGTAGATTGAGGTGCGTAGTGACGACTTGAATCGTAGAAGCTAGTGCGTAGGCCATATCCACTCCTGCCACCATGCCGTAGACTTCGGAAGCGAGTATACTACGTGTGACTCGCTTGCTCTTAGTAATGGAGAAGTGGATGATATTACCACGAATGGTGAATTGAGTATCGATTGTGGTCTCGTTGGCTAGAATGATGTAAGGAAAAGGATACCCCAAACACCAACTGCGCGCACAGGGTGCGCGCCCACCACTTGTCACCAACTGGCTAGAACACTGCCAGCTGGCATACGCTACGCCGTGGCGCCACGACCGCAGACTGATGCCCGGGCCGAACCCCTGAGCAGGTATATAAACAATGGCCCTCGCCCATCTTCCTTTGCGAGGGCCAGGTTGAAGTCTTACACCAATACAAGTCATTGCTCCCCTACCTTCTTGCCTGCATTGTGACCACCTTGATCAGGCGTACCTACCTTCTCTTACAAATGATTACGAAGCCGAGTTGTGATGTGAGGTCACGGTTATTAGCGAAAGATCCGTTGACGAAGACGAAAAGCTTTGCGTTAGGTAGGTCTAGGGGGATAAATGCTAGACCTCGGTCCTGGTTATCAACCTGCCACTTAATACGTTGGTTGAGGGCTTTAAAGTCATCTAGCGTAGGCTCTTGGTGTTGCGCTGCGGTTGATAGGTCGAAGCAGGCTTCAGGTTGACAGATGGAAGCAATATACGCGCCGCGGGCTCGCTGCTCGACGTATTGTTGCTTGGCGTCAACTGCATTGTAGTTAATAGGTCGTAGCCTACCGGCCTGGCCTTTCTGCCGTAGGGTGATCGTATCGTTGGTAAGCGTAGCGATCCCTCCGTTGAATGCTAGTGGTTCCTTTGAAGTCAGGATCTGCTTAGGCTTTGCACTGAATGCGGCCTCTTTCAGTTGTTCTTCCTTGTCACGACCAGGGCAAGGCATTGAGGTTAACTCAGTCCATTAGGTGCTATCGACGAAGATTCTAAACTGAGGAGGGAAAGAAGGAAAAGTCCGACAACGCGTCGCGTGCTCGCGAATAAGTTTTCATCTATCAGTGGGGTAGGTGGGGCCTCGAGGAGGCTTCTGATAGGCCTGGGGGTTCTAGGCGGCTCTAGCTGCTTGAGGGCCAGTTTGGTGGACGGGTCCTCATAGAGTGGCATTCCGATTTGACTGTATTACCCGTGCGATAGGAGCTTGCCCTTTGTTGTATCTTCATAATTACCAACCCAGCATTCTGTGGAGCCCATGCTCCCTTACAGACAGACGACCCTAACAGTCGAGTGGTTTGTAATACTTATACGGCCAGCCAGCCGTACGCGAGCTAGATAGTCGGTGGGGCCACAGTTGGCGGGCAGGCCGGCATACCAAGCTACAATGGTATTCGCTACGACTTGAGGTTATCAGGGAAATCGAGCGTATTGCACGGAGCCGCCGTATTAGCGAGGAGGCTGCAATGTATATCGTTAACTTACAACAACAGCAGACTGGCTGTTCTATGGACCAGTTCTGCAAACAGTTGCGGGCCAACCGGAAGGTACAGCTTTTGGCCGAGAAGAGGAAGAAGAGATAGAAATAGTAGTAGACTGGAGGGCGAAGACTGGGTTTGTACGGGCACAGATAGAATATACGAACGAAGAAAACCTTCTTTACACTACAATACTATCGCGCAAGCTATTATGCCGGCATTTTGGCCTGCCGTTATGCCGGTCTACTGTTACGATCCTGGTTCAAAGGTGCAGAGGGCGCTGCCCGCCTTCTGTGGATTGGCTGGAACAGCAGTTAAGGTGGGGGGCTCTCGCTCGAAGGTGCATCCAATGAGGGAGTGCTCAGTGGGGCCATTGCCGAGACCCACTGAGCGCACCAAGCGGGGAGCTCAGTAGGATCAGTGCCGAGACCCACTGAGCGCACTGAGCGGAGAGCTCAGTAGGGATCAGTGCATCTAGGACTGAGCACGACTGAGCATGTGAGTCAGGAACTCTGATTGGTCCTCCTTAGATAGATATATACGACGACCGTAGCCACGGTCCCAGATAGTTCTTGCTTGGTTCTTCAAGCAAGCAATACACATTCACTGCACTCATACACTTTGAGTGGCATTCCGATTTGACTGTATTACCCGCGCGATAGGAGCTTGCCCTTTGTTCTATCTTTATAATTACCAACCCCAGCATTCTGTGGAGCCCGTGCTCCCTTACAGACAAACGACCCTAACAGTCGAGTGGTTTGTAATATCTACCAGCTTACGATAGGGGCGAATATTGTTTGCTGGTGACTAGCGCTGAGGGCACGGCCGATTTTTAGCGCTAATGCATCAATAAGCGGCTGACTAAGCCACCAAAGGCTAGGTGGGGATATCCTATTGATATTTGACGTTCCTTTGCTCTGGACCAAATCCAGGTCAAGAATGACGTCACAGGTGCCTTGCGTGCGGCGGATTACCAGCGCCGTGTTGACGCTGCAAGGTATTGGTTCCGGTGTAGGTTCTGGGTGTAGCTTAGATAGCAGAATCAACTTTTTCTACCTCAACACTATACTATTTACGTTGTGATGACACCCCCGTGTTGCGTACTGTCACGCGCATTCACACGGCAATGGAAATGAAGCATTTGATGCAGGGAGGTAAGGCTTGAATTGTCTGAAAAGGTCTGACTTTTTGTTTCCTTTGGGAGTGTGTTACAATCTGGACAACAGGTCCACGGAGCTAGGCCCGGCCTAGGATTGTGGGGGTCTGGACGGCAGGTAGGAGATGACAGGAGACAAGGAGTATCGTGCACAGATTGCGAAAGACAGTCTTTCAACACACAACCAATGTATGCTTAACCAGATGCATTGATAGCTGCAGAACCGTTCTCCAGAGAGAGCGTGCTGCCAGCTCCTATATAGAACTATGAGCAACCAATCAGAGTTCCTGCCTTACATGCTCAGTTGTGCTCAGTCCTAGACGCTCTGATCCCCACTGAGCTCCCTGCTCAGTGCGCTCAGTGGGTCTCGGCACTGATCCTACTGAGCTCAGCCATGCTCAGTGCACCTTGGCAATGGCCCCACTGAGCACTCCCTAATTGGATGCACCTTCTCTTAGCGAGAGCCCCACCCTAAGTGCCGTTCCAGCCAATCCGCAGCGGGCGGGCAACGCCCTCTGCACCTTTGAACCAGGATCGTAACAGAGTGCCAAAAGTTCATCTTTTTTAGTTATGAATAGTGGCAAAATCTGGTGGCGAAGAATCAAGTAGCAGCTTCTAGGTTCTTCTTTTGCTCACTAATCCCTATTGTCGTGACACCTACTTTTGACACGGTTGACACAGTTGACACAGTTGACACAGTTGAGTCAACCTTCGGCTACGAGTTATGGCACAAAGCGGGGTTGTCCTTGCTAATTTCTTAGTAAAATGGCCCAGCCACCTATTCTCTCGAGCGAAGCGAAGACAACCCGCCTGTGGCGCCGCCCGAGGCATCCGTTCAGCTGACCCCTTCCTGACTGGTCAGGTAGCTTATTTAACCCTTATGAACCTCTGTGAATAGGAAGATGACTACCGAGTAAGTAAATACTTGTGTCGTCAAAGTGTCACTTGAACTCATTTATTTGATCGTAGCTCTGCTGTGGTGGTTGGGCCGCTAAAGGAAAGAGCACCAACCGGCCAGGCCACTGCCTGTTGACACAAGCCACAAGGTTTGCTGGTTCGGCGGGTTCTGCCCGCCGCGGTTACCAGAACGCTCCTACCTGGCGGAGTAAAGGACACATAGGTGAAATGTTTTTGTGGGAAATGTTTTTAAAAATGACCAAGTTTGATCCTCCCTCACCACCCATCTGCGCTCAAGCCAAGACGCCCTGTTCTCCGCATCACCTGCACACATTCGCCACCGGCCTTCTCTCTCGACCACGAGCCAGCACATCCCACACACTCGCCACCGGCCTTCTCTCTCAACCAGACCACCAGCCATGGCTCCAGCCAAGACGCTCACGCGTGACATGCCAGGCAAGCAAAACTCATGCCCCGATGCGGCCTTCTCTCCCTCGACCACCAGCTATAGCTCAAGCCAAGACGCCCACGCGTGGCCTTCTCCCTCAACCACCACCTATAGCTCAAGCCAAGACGCCTTGTTCTCCGCATCAACTTGCAACACATCCCACACATTCGCGACCACCAGCTATGGCTCAAGCCAAGAAGACGCCACTGGCCCTCTCTCTCAACCACCAGCCATGGTTCGAGTCAAGACGCCCACGCGTGACATCCCAGGCAACCACAACTCGTGCCCCGATGCAGCCGCTAGTCCGCGAGAATAATAGCACTGAATCCTTAGGTCTGCATTGTGCCTTGGGGCCTCCTGTCATGGTGCCTCCTGTCCGGGTGCATTTCAACCGGCAGCAGAAGAGAATGGCATGCGCCTCTGACTGCGGCTACTTTTGGCCTTGATGACTGTCCCCCGACGTACGGGACTGCGCGCTCACCCCGGCAGAGACCCAGAGTCAGCCGGACTGTTGAAGACAAGAAAGAGATTGCCGAGAGAATGTTGAAGACAAGTAGACTGTTCAAGATAAGAAAGAGGTTGCCGAGACCGCGGCCGTCGCTCTCATGAGCCGCTTTCCCGACATGTCAGTGACCCGGCCTCCTGTCCCCCCGTTGAGTCGTATACCTCTCGGAGCCGTACTAATCCTGTTCATCTCCAGTATGTCGCCTCCTATCAACCTGAAAGACGGCGTGCTTGACCATCATGAGGGCCTTTCGATAGCCGTACAAATCATCGAAAAAAAAACCTCGCAAAACCAGCAATCAGAAAAAAAGAAAAAGCACTTGTATTTATCGCCCTCTTCTTTTCTTACAACGAAGCGGCATCTCTTCATTGCCCGCAACAATTAGATGGACAACAGACTAGACACGTGGATTCGTCTCCATTTTCTTCCTTTCTTTTATTCGAGGCCAGCAAACACATACAGCATCCTCATTCTTCTGGCATCACCTTGGAGAGGCTTTGGAGGTTTTCTTTTCTTGGATTCGGCGGCCCTCGAGAACGGAGCACGCACGAGATGGAGATGGAGATTGGGAGAGAGAAGAAGAGGGATATATCCTTGAGGCTGGGAGAGAGAGAAGAAGAAGAGAGATATATCCTTGAGGCCGAGGCCTCGCCAGAGCAGCCCAAAAAGGCCGCTGCTCCCAAGGACGAGTCTGAGGATGAGCTCGATCAAGAGGATTCGCCTGCCGAGGAATCGGAGCCTGAGAAGCCGGCTCCCAAGGCAAAGCGCGGCAAGCGGGGTGCAGCTGAGAAGGTGGCTGCTCCCAAGGATGAGCCTAAGGCCGAGGCTGTGGATGCACCACCTGCCGAGAAAAAGGCACAGGCCAAGCGCGGAGCTGCCAAGAAGGCTGCTGCAGCCATTGCAAAAGAGGATTCGTCTGCCGAGGAATCAGACTAACACTCAGGTTTTGGTGCGGCTTAATCTCGAGCCATCTCAAGGGATGAGCATTCCAGGAACGGAACGTCGGTGTTAGTAGGAGGATATGGTCTGTTCTGCCATTGTTCTTCGGTTGTGTGAGATGCGTGGCGCACGGAATGGAATTGTGACGGCGGTCAACAGCATCTAGGAAGAAGAGTCGCTAGTATGGCTATACCATTGTCTTAGGATTCTAAAAGTAAAGAAAGAAAGAAAGAAAGTCTACAAAGGTACGATCGAGGGTGCGGGGGTATAGTGGGGTGCCGAGAGCGCACGGGCCATTATGGTTTGCCCTGCCAAGGCTCGTGACATCACCCCCCTCTTCCACAAAGGGTTCGCCCTCGAATCCTTGTAAAAAAATGTAGTGGCCACCAACAATACTTGAGCACAAGACCTCTCAGAATAAGCCGCTTTCCAGGCAGAGGAGGGGTACCCTCGGAAATCAGGTAGTGGAGCAAATCAACAGGCCCTCAAACCGCGACCGCTTTACCACCCTCAATCACGGGTTCCAATTAGCCCTTTTTGTAAGCGACTTCCAAAAGTCGCCTCACATAACTGGTTGGTCATCTTCTCTTTGTTGCGCGGCGCTTTCGCACGACGCCTGCTTCCACTGCCAAGTTGTCATCCTCGTGAGGCGGGTCTACCAAGTCCCGTTCGCATGCCTCACGCCACTGCTGCAACCGCTTCGGGGGTCCTGCGTTGTCCGGGTGCTGGTTGTGGAAGTCGGCTAACTTCAGGGGCGCATTTTTGAACCCTGATGCGTCGTACCAGGTAGGATCGGGGTCCCAACCGCGCCATTCGACTTGGTATTGCAGCACGCCTCGGTTTGTTCGGGAAGTAATGATCCTTTCCACTTCCCGTTCTTCCTCATTATCGAACAACTCTCCAGGGGGGTTTTCTGCCCCTTGTCCTGGTACCGGGTTGTTTGGGTACTTCCTCAAGCGATCTGCGTGAAACACGGAGGTGCCTTTCCACCCTTCGGGCACTTCTAGCTGGTAGGAGTGTCCGACCATCTTCTCGATCTTGTAGTGCCGTCGGGTTAGCGGGTAATCCAACTTATCGCTAGGGCGATCAGTGGACCACGACTTCTTGATGATGAAGACAGAGTCTCCAGGGCCGAAGTCCGGCTCCCTTCGGTGCCGGTTAGCTTGCTCTGCCTGCTTCTGCTGTGCTAGGCGCATCGTGTCTCGGGCGGAGTTGACGTAGTCCTGAATCCTACGAGCTATGTCCTGAGCTTCCTCGCGGTTCAGGCGTTCCCTGTGAGGGAGGCCTTCAGGGTTCGTTCTGGCGCTCCAGTCGAACGGCAGGTTCATAGGAAATCCCATCAGGACTTCGTGGGGGGAGAGGCCTGTGCTGTCATGCGGGATCGATCCTGCCACGGCGTCCATGGCGGGCATGGCTCGCGACCAGTTATCTTGGTGATGACTGACGAAGGGCCTCAGTCGTTGGTCGATATACTGGTTCATGATTTCTGCTTGTCCGGCGCTCATTTCCAATGTTTCGTCAATCAACGGGATCGGGTAACGGTCTTTCCTCGTGATCGAGTTCAGCCGTCGGTAGTCGATGCAGGAACGGAGTCCTCCTCCAGGCTTCTCTGCCATCAAGACGGGTGCTGCCCAAGGGGCGGAACTTGGTTCAATAAAGCCTTTTTGCAGGTGCTCGGTAATGTACAACCTGCAGGCCTCCAGTTCCTCCAGCGACATCTTATAGAGAGGGCTGTAGATGAGATCCTTTTCTGGTGTCTTACCCTCGAAGAGCTCTATCCGGTGATCAGCCTTGCCGTGGCGATGCGGGGCTCGGACGTCAGACTCGGCCTTGCTAAATACGTCCAGGAAGTCGTGGTAGGCTTTTGGGACTGTCCGTATGATTTTTTCCGCAAGATCTTCCTCGTCCTTGGGCAACAGCTTTTCTCGACGGTCCTGAATATATCGGTCAAGTTCGTACATAGACATGACGTAGATTGAGTCTCTTGACTTATGGGCTGTTCGGAGGAACGATACAGCTCCTACCATTGCCAAGTCGGGAGGGCGTTCTTTGTACCAACCGAACGCATCCCTCTTCATCTTGTAATGCCCCCTGACATCGGACTCGGGGTACAAGCTAGCGATCGTGATTTTCGGAGGCTTGGGAGAGTCGGGTTTGTCTTCGGATCCCTCAGAGTCCGGGTCTGGAGCGAAGACTTCTCTCTCCATGCGATCTAGCTGTCGCTGCATTGGGTCGCTTGACAAGGACCTCGTGGGCTTCTTGTCAACGATGAAGTGCACTCGCCGAGACTGAGGTTTGGGCTTTGGCGACTCGACAAGGGGGTTGTCCTTGAGTTGTTCAAGTTCCTTGATCCTGTCCCTGACGCTCCGTCCGTCCTGTCGTCTCTTGTCTTCAGCGTCCATGGCAGCCTGCCTCCTGAGCATATCCTCTTGGTAGTCCTTGCTCTTGAGTAACATGGTTCTTCCGACTGGTATGTCCTTCTAGAAGCCAGGGTCGACATCCCAATCGGAGGGGAACATCAAGCGTTGTTTCGCACAGTCGAGCCACACGTCGTGGTGAGCGAACCAGTTCTTCCCGATGAGCAGGTCATGCTTCATTTCCAGGACGATCATCCATTCGTTGTGTACAGTTCGTCCTTGAATTCGGAGATGATCCCTTACGAGCTGGTTGATCTCTTGGGTGGACTTGCCTCGGTAGTCCGCGACACCTCTCAATATGTACCCGTCTGCTCCCGTATCCATCAGTACGTCAGAAGTGGAAAGAGAATATCCATTGTTGGCTATGGTGCAATCGCAAAGGAAAGATCCTCCTCCAATGAGGGGACCAATGTCAAAGGAACCATCGGTCAGTTGTTCCAACAACACTCCTTGCCTCAGTATACCTATGCCTTGTCTCTTCTTTTCTGATGTGGACACAATCCCTGGGAGGGAGTCCTCATTCCCCAGGGCGCCTAGTTTATCGCCTCGACATCGGAGTCTTCTGTGTCGGAGGACGATGACTGCTCCTCATCGTCAGTGGCGGGATCAAACTGCTGAGTGATAGCTCGAATCTTGGCGTCCTGTGCCTTCTTGGCCTGCTCCTTGAGTGGGCAATCGTTTTGGACATGTCCCTTCTCTCGGCAAACGAAGCAACGTCCCTCTTTGGCCAACTGTACGGCTTCAGCACGGTTGGGTCGGGGAGGGAGTTTTCCACCAACGGCGACTGGCACGTTGTTACTTGCGGAGGGGGCACCCTGTCGGTAACTACCGCCTCGGCGAGGGCCTCCTGCGTTCTTCTTTGCTCCGGCAACAGGTTTCCTGTCCTTGCGGGCTTCGCGACGCTGACGAGATTGGGCGAAGTTCCGAGCGATACTCTGTCCGTACTTGGCGATGCTTTCAAAGGTGGCATCGGGGGCCAGGAAGGCCGGCATCATGGCAGTAACGAAGCTACTATGTAGCTTACGACGGAACTCATCGATCCATTCCGACTTCGGCTTGTGGACCTTTCCAGCGAGACGGACGAAGTTGTTCTTGAACTCAATGTAGTCGTCGGATCCGCTCTTCATTTCCAACTCATTGTACTCATCCTTGGCGACCTCAAGGCGGTTCGGGTCGTGCCACTCGTGCCAAATGAGGTCCAACAGTCCATCACTCGTCGTGACAGGGTCGGGGTGGTCATTGGAGACGTAAGGGTCAATGGTGTCAGAGGCGGTGCCGGCCAGGCAGTTCTCAATGTAAGCCATGCGGGCTCGATCAGTTGTAAAGTGATCGGCGTTGGCCTCCAACTTGTTCATCAGCTGTCGGTAGAAGATCTCGAAAGCTACCTTATCAACAGTAGGGTCCGCATTCCATGGCTTTGGGCCGTCAATCTTAGCGCTGCGGGCAGCTCGCTGGGTCGAAGTCTCGGACACGGCCGGGGTAAGGCGAGGAATTCGGCTACGAGGATTGGGGTTCGCATCCTCTTGAACTGAAGGTGTCGTGGCAATCAGGGTAGCGACACGGACTGACTGAGCCTGGGCCTTGAGCTTGCTGGTCTCGACCGCTTGGTCGGCAATGACTCGCTGCAGGTCAAAGACTTCCGTGACCTTTTCCTCCAGTTGTTGCTCCAATCTAGTGATCTTGTCGCGGGCTGACTGGCCGGCGAGATCAACGTCCTTTCCTTGCAGGAGTTCCTCGATGTGTCCCTTAAAGACCTCTGTCCAGGTGAACATCAATCCCACATTGGCGTCCAGTCGACCTGCCACTTGGAACAGGTCGGTGTTCTGCATTCGCAAGGCTGCCATCATGATGGATCGGAACTTGAATTCCATGTAGACAGCATCTTCATCCTCTTTGACTATCTGGGCAAAGTTCTCGCGGGAGCAAAGTCCACTCCAGTCCGGGAACGCGTCCTGTCCAGTCTTGGTGACAGGGACGAAGTGGAAAGCGGCTCCTGCCTGTGAGCGGCGACCATAGTATTCGGCAATCTTGTCGCAACGGTGAGCCAAGTCTTCTCGCAATTGATCGCGTGACAATCCGAAGCGCTCCTTGGGGAGGTCGGCTACGACGATTCGCTGATAAAGCTCGAGATTGTCTTCATCGTCTTCAGGTTCGGCTCCAGCGGTGTGGCTGGCAGTGTTCTCGAGGAGAGAGAGGCGGGGTCCCACAGGACCGCTCAGTCGAGTCAAATCGTTATTCAGTCCAGTGATCTTGTCGCGCGCTGGAACATTCGCATCAAGCACGAGGTGGTCGTATTCAACTTCCAATCGGGCGCGCGCCGCGGCCGCGGCGGCTTCTTCGGGGTATCGAGGCATTCTGGCGATGCCTTCTGTCGGTTCTGTCAATCGGTTTCTTTCTTTTCTTATCGTGGGATATTGAAAGCCTTCCCAGGCGGAAGAGGTGACTTTTAGAATGATGTGACGGCGGTCAACAGCATCTAGGAAGAAAAGTCGCTAGTATGGCTATACCATTGTCTTAGGATTCTAAAAGTAAAGAAAGAAAGAAAGAAAGTCTACAAAGGTACGATCGAGGGTGCGGGGGTATAGTGGGGTGCCGAGAGCGCACGGGCCATTATGGTTTGCTCTGCCAAGGCTCGTGGCAGGAATGGCCATGAGGATACAGAATGTAGCTCTTTTACGTGAGCTTTCACCACAAGAAGCTTAGCCTCTATAAGCGCTTCTATAATTCGATGAGTTGACTCGTGTCATGCACAAGGAGAAAGAGTTATGAGTCCTTACCTAATAGTCTAGTTCGAGCTCATAGGGCTAAGATCGCGTGGGATTTCGGTAGTTCATATGATTTTTTCCACGGTGTGAAATTAGTTGCCATGATTAGTTTATCAACGTGTTTAACAGCAAAACCCACTTTCAACAAGCGTCGGCCGGAATCCACAGACTTGTCCTTGGCTTTTTTCGTAACGAGGAACCGGATCCGCAGCAGGTCCGTGGCCGCCACACTCTTAATTGCCCGGCTTCCAACTATTCTGGGTGGCGTTTCAGACTGCAAGCTTTAGAACCTACCAGCAGGTTGCGACCAACGTCCAATACACATGTGACGATAAATCCATATAGTTCTAGGACTGCTTTCTTCCCAGACATTATTATTCTGCATGGCGTTGTAGGCTGCAAGCTTTCTAAACCCACTAGCAGGTTACGACTGTTACCACACTAGCAGGTTACGACGTTTTGTCAGCACACATCGCTGTACACTTTGACAACATGCCAGAAGAGTGAAGCCATAGTTGCGACTAGCGTCCAAACATGTGACGATAGATGTACATGGTTTTGGGACTGCTTTTTAGATGCGTCGCCCAAGACTCGAGATTTCGCCCATTCACTTCCCCGCCGACCGTCTCGATAATATTACCATAGTTATATAGCCATTATTCTACAACGAGCCTCGAGAGTGAGTAGAAGCTGATACTCTCTCTGACACTGTCCCTCTACTAAATGGGTGTTTTGGCCCTGCAATGTTCCGCCTTATTGTAGCTTCAACATGTTTCCCATATAAACGAGCCACGAGAAGAGTAGAAGCTGATACTGTCTCCAACACTATCCCTCTACTAGATGGGGCAGGAACTACCCACCAATTAAGTCAGCGCACAGGCCCCACCCGCTCCACACGGTGCGCAGCACGTTGACCCCCGGTCACTCCCCGTTGTTCACTTAGAAGAATGCGAGCAACACAACCACGCGAGCAACAAAACCACGCAACCCTTTCGCGGCACAAATGACCTTGTCATTCCCGCAGGCCCAGTCATTCCCACAGGCCCAGTCATTCCCACAGGCCCATCCCCGAGGCACGCCTCGATTTTCGTCCGCTTTATACCAAATTGAGTACGGACGCGGGTTTTTCGTGGTAGTGCATGCTTTTTGTGTTGCTTGGACGAAGAAATGGAGTCAGGTGTGTCGCCGACAGGCGCGCGAGCCTCTGTCGGCTCGCAGAAGCTCTCTCCACATGCATGCGCATACCAGCCTGGTCGGCCCTTCCTGAACATGCAGCCCCGCGGCGCCTGTGCTGGTGGTGGTGGAGACGCGGCGCAAAAGGCAGCACAGCAAGCACCTGCCAAGGCCACCCCAACAGGCAATTCTGGCGTCAACCATTCCGAATCGAACTCATCCACTCCAACAGGCAATTCTGGCGTCAACCGTTCCGATTCAGACTCATCCACTCCGAAAGGCAATTCTGCCATCAGGCGTTCCGATTCAAACTCATCCACTCCGAAAGGCAATTCTGCCATCAACCGTTCCGAAGCAAACTCATCCATCTCCTATCTGACCTCGGAGTTTGGCGGTAGAGGGCGCGTCGCTGGAGAATTTGGCTCAATCATCAGTCCCGCCGGGATACCTCTAACCTCGGAGTTTGGTAGCAGAGGACGCGTCGCTGGAGCATTTGGCTTAACTATCAGTTCTGCCGGAATACCTCTGACCTCGGAGTTTGGTGAGGGAGGACGCGTCGCTGGAGCATTTGGCTTATCCGTCGGTTCTGCTGGAATACCTCAGCCACTGACAGCGCGTCGTCGGCTAGGACAAGGACAATTCGGGCCATCAGCAGTTGGAGGCTCAGCACTCTACTTTGACCAAGACACGCCATCCGATTCCTTTACTGCTTTTGACCCTGGCTATAAACAAAACTCGGCATCAAACGCCGTCTTCTCCAACACCTTCAATCCCCTTTCCACGGGTGGACACGGTGGGCTATTTGGGAGAACAGACCAGTTCTCCAAAACCTTCAATCACCTCTCCACGGGCGGACACGGCGTCATGGCCCATCAAGCTGGCTTCCACAGCAGCCACGTCGCCTATCCCACTGTCAATACCATACCTCTCGGCACTTCTTTCACACATGCAGATGCTATGTATCTCAAGAATACCTGCGATACACTGCCCTCTGAGAAAGCCCCGGATTATTATCCCCCAGTGTTCCCTCGAACTTTCCACGCTAGCACAGATGCTATAGATTCTAAGAATACCCGCGATACACTGCCCTCTGAGAAAGCCCGGGATTATTTTCCCCCAGTGTTCCCTCGGAATTTCTATGCGGGAACAAATGCTACGGATTCCGAGAATACCCGCGATGCACTGCCCGTTGAGAAAGACCAGGACTTTCATCTCCAAGGGTTTTCCCTTGACTATACTGGGCAGTATACTCCGGTTGCTCTGGTGGACGAACGCCGGCACGAGAACCCCCCAGCTCAGGTAACAAAGATTTACCAGCGGTCTACGGAGTTGACATCCGAGCCGAAAGACGGCATCAATCAAAATTTCCATGCTGGCACAGATGCTATGGATCCCAAGAAGATCCGCGACACACTGCCCTTTGACAAAGCCCGGGATTATTATCCCCAAGGGTTCCCTCTTGACTATGACGGGCAATATACTCCGGTTACTCCGCTGGACGAACGCTGTGACGAGAACCCCCCAGCTCAGGCAACAAAGATTTACCAGCAGCGGTCCACAGAATCGACATCCGAGCAGCGGTCCACAGAGTTGATATCCGAGCAGCGGTCCACAGAGTTGATATCTGAGCCGCGGTCTACAGAGTCGACATCCGAGCCGAGAGACAGGACCGATGAAAATATCGATGATAGCACAGATGGTACGAATTTCAAGAAGATCCGCGATACACTGCCCTTTGAGAAAGCCCGGCATTATTATCCCCATGGGTTCCCCCTTAACTTTACTGGGCAATACACTCCGGTGGACAAACGCTGGTACGAGAACCTCCAAGCTCGGGTAACTGAGCGGTCCTCAGAGTCGGCATCCGAGCGGAAAGACAGGATCAATCAAAATTTCTATGCTGGCACAGAGGGGCTGGTTAAGGATATAGGGCAGGTGATACGCGACCACGACCGTCGCTTCTCCGACAACAAGGTTGGCGTTATAGGACAGGGTCGAGAGAAATTCCAAACTTCGTCTACTGATGAGGTGGGAAGCAATGGCAAGGTACAGCCGCCATTCTTGACTGTGGCAGAGTCTAACAGTATCGAAGACCAGGCTCACGCCGAGCCTCTTCTCAATATGGCATTTGCAACACTGCTGACCCACAAGAAGGAGAAAGAGTCAGACGCTCATGGGAAGAGTGGTGAGCGAAGCGATTTTGTTGCCGCCGACCCTGCATGGATCGACAAGAGCGAGGAGGGTAACAAGAGCTTCTTTGATGCACCCAAAGCCATGGCACCCAAAACTGGGGCACCCAAGAAGAAGAAGAAGAAGGTAGTTAGGAGACCATTTCTCAGCTACTGAGTGGGCTGATGTTGCATTTCTTTCCGGGAGAGCCACTTTCGGGAATATTTCTCAGTTGTATTCGGATTGACTGGGGAGCATTTTATTCATGGCCTCTTGGCCTGATACAACGTGGGTTTGCCTTGGGACTGCCAGGGTCTAATGGTGGACGTCGGTTGCTTTTAGGCTGATACCGAAATGTAGTTGAGAGGACATGACATGATCAACTGTCCTGGACATGCAAGACCTCAGATCATGGTTAATTTTGGTCTGGAAGCCGAGGACCATCACACCGCGACTTTACACACTACCGCCAATAGCTTTGGGTTGTCTCTTCATTATTGAGCGAAACCCCACTACCACATTTGCCTGCTAAACATAGATGCTATTACCGTTAATTTAGCATATATTTCACGACGCATGACAGTAAGAACCAGTGAATAAACAACATGGAAAAAGTAAAACGCACAACTCGGCGATCAAGTCAAAATACAGCACTTTCCAAGATAAGTAATCTCTCGGAGAGGTTTTGTCTTCTATTTATACCTTGTAATGCCAGGCTCGTAGGTTCGAGCAGTGTAGAGCGCAGGTTCGGGCAGTGTGGAGCGCGTTTAGGCCCTGATCTTCTCGCGAGTACGCTATTCTGTTCGCGAGTATTCGCTGCACAAATATGCCAAGAGGATAGAGATAGCCTACGGCCACTTATGTGGAACCCGTGGCCATGCGCCACCGCCGCCCCCTATGTAGCTGGCTAGCGCCTTGTTCTAACACTGGCAGTCTCTTATTTCGAGGCTAGAAAAACGCGCTGAAGGCTACTAATTAAACCCTCTTGGTACACTGCTTCCACCCAGGCCTTCCTTACTGAGAGACCCACCCTTCCATGCTGACCGTGACGCTGTTGTCGTTGATGAACTGCTCTAAGGCCCGGTTTGGCGAGGCCTTCGTCAGGGCATCGGCGAGGTTGTCGTCGCCATAGATCCACCTGACTTCGTGTAGCTCTACGCTCGTACAATTGCCGTAGAGCCATAATATCGATCATCAGCCTTTTCTCTTTCGTTATCCCTGGCTTGACAAGACATCTGCGCTTTCTAGCCAAGATCCGCTCAATATGAGAAGCCTGCAGTGAGCTCCCCGTGGAGCTTGAGACGACTGCCAGTACCTGCAGAGACGATGAAGAGTGCAAATCAAAGACCATACATGAACCGTACAAGCTGAAGAATTCCCCTGGTCCTCTTCAGGGCCGTGCTCGACGCGATGCAAATGCCTGCACCGTATTGAACCTGTGACTTCACCAGAAAGGGCGCAACTCAGCAGAGACATTATCAGATTCGGCAGGGAACGAATCCGATACTTGCGTGAGAGAATTCAGGGCCCTCTTGCGTTTCTTCGTTGTGAGAAGGGTTCTCCTTGTGACGGGAACGTTACCTGGCATAGCGGGTTTCGGATTGTTTCGTCTGGGTATATTCATCTTGACCTTCTCCATAATGTTGCTGTTGTCGTTCCCACCCACATGGTCCATAGTCTTCAGCATCTGTAGAGCTGGACCGTAGATGTCCTCAAAAATATGCTGCTCGAGGAGGGTATTGGCGTCCCACTCTGCTTTCTGGCCAAGGCCTAGTGACTTGTTCTGCAAGAAAAGAGCCTCCGCCCTAGTGGAGGTGATGGAGGCTTCGTACCAGCGAGGAAACTCTCCCTCATCTTTCTTCTTCTTGGCTGTTTTTGGAGTCCAGGACCGAGCCGACTGTGCGCCTTGGTTGCCTCTACCGGTGTGGAAGGCACCGCCACCAACAGGCTCAACCTCTAGCTGCTCAACTTCGCTGACGTTGAGTACGCTTCTGGCATCGGGGCTGAGATAACGCCACTTGGTGGCAACACGGACATCTCGAATGATCACGCCAAAGTCGCTCTTCAGGGGAAATTGTAGCTCAAGGCCGCTTGGTCCTTCGGTGTTTCTGCTAATTCTCAGTGAATCTATGAGCGCCCTAGCAAAGGTGCTGAATGGTTGCTCGTTGATTTCATCGTCATCGTGGGAAAGTTTTATACGCAAGTCCCAGTTGCGAAGCAATCCATGGACGTAAACAGCGACATTTGCGTTGAAACCGAGACGTCGAGTGTACTGCTGTAGCTTATAGGAGAACCCATTCGTCGGATCATCTATAATATCGACAATAAAGCGGCCCGGTGGGCTAGTACTGAAACAATGAAACGAATAGACGGTCCAAGAGGAGGTCGGGTTCTCCTTCCATAGGTAATTGTCTTTATCTCTGGTACTGATCATAGTGTCTACATCTGCGGCAAAGGTGCCGAGGATGGTTGTAAATTGAAAGGCTTCGTCTTTGGTCATCAAGCTGTTCAAAAGGTCTATTAGGACTGTTTTGCCCCAGCCACTGCTAGGCGACCCCGAGGCGTTGTAGGATAGGCCGGATGGGTCCATTTTCAAAAGGATTGCCCGACCAAATTCCGCAGTTACGGAGACTCTTCCGCGTAAATAGGGGCCCGTGGTGAGCAGCCTTGTTATGGCTGCGTGAATCTCCTCAGTAAAGGTCGGTGGAGACTTCTCTACCCAAGTGGTATTCTTCTTTCCGAGAGGTTGGGCTATCTTTTTCGACTTTGCCTGCTGATTCATTATCTCGAAGCCATTGGCCCCAGACTCCAAGTAACGTCTAAATCGATGAGCATCCTTTTCGTCCCTCTCTAAGTCTTTTACTAGGGGAGTCGGTGTGGTAGGAGTGGAAGGTGAAGTGGCTAGCACTCCTACAACAGAGTCACTTCGTGTCGCCGAACGCCCTAGATTAGTCGTTTTAGAAACCGTCTGAGGAACTAGCGGGCTCATGCTCCAGGTAATAGATTCACCTAGGGAACTAGAAGAGCCACTGCCAGAGCCACTGGGAAATAATTCGATTAGAGATCCAGAGGCGGTATACCGTATGCCTGAACCGGGAGTTTGGTCAGCTAATGAAGTTTTCTTCTCCGTTTCCAGGAAAAATTGCCATCCCGGGAAATGGGAGGTGCTTGCTGTCATCTCATAAGCTCCATTATATTGTATGTCCAGAGGTGATTTCGGCATAGTGTTGAACGGAAATGCTACCAACTTCTTAAAACGACGCGCTAAGTCCTCAGGGTTGACTTCTTCCAGTGTTTGTGAGACGATAGTCTGTTTATGTCCAGCTGGCTTGGGCTGCGGGATCTGTGCTGTGCTAGTTTCGAGATATATCAAGTCGTCCGGAACCGGCAATGTGTCTTTTCCCGGAAGTTCCGAGTTTGTCTGTGCCACAGAACCAACAGTTGAGGTTCGGGCTGCAGATCGTATGGCACCAGATACCTGGGAGGCTTGGGTAGCGCCCTCAGGACTACCGGGGCACGATATAATGCCAGTATTGTCTGGGATAGATTGCATCCACTTCGATGCCTTCTCTTCCTTGCTAGACGCTCGATAAGTTGTCTGGGTAAAACTTGGGTCAATATGCTGATTAACCCGTGTGGTAACAAGCGTGGCCGGCGTGGCTGGCGTGGCAAGCGCGATGGGCGGCTGTGGATTTGCAGCGAAGAAGGACCCCTCTGCGTTCTTCGGGGTGGCAATTAGACGGTTCCCAAAAATGTACTTTCTGCTAGATCGGCCGATTATTGGGGGGCCGAGCAACGAGAGATGATATTTCAAGTCGCAGTCATATGTGCAGAGTCGGATTGAGCATCCTTCCTCGTAGAGTTTCGTATATATGCCCTGCAGGTCTTGGACCTCGAGCCGATCCAAGAGAGTTGTAGAAGCTAGCTTAGGCTCGATATTGACCATGTAGCGGGCATCAGCCGTGAGCTCTGGAAGTTTTTTTTCAACGTAGTCCTCAGCAAACAGCAGATGCTCAGGCTGCGGCTGGGCAGTTTTCTGGTATACTTGTTAGCTTCTAAATCTCTGGATTTCTGGATGCCTAGACTTGGTAGTCGTGGTACTCACCTTGAGCTTGAGCAAAACATTGAGCCTCTGTTGAATCTCGTCGATCGACTCTTGGTTGTTAGCCCCAAGGTAAACCAGGGCTCCAGAAGGGGCAAAAGAAATCATAGCGCCAGTATCGCTCTCGAGCTGTCTGAAGCCAGTTTCGGTGACGATATGGTGAATTATGAGAGGTTCAGTTCCAAAGTGGTCTTGTTCAAAGTCGAGCTTGTCCCAAATAGCCTTGTGACTGAACTGTGAAAGCCGCTCTGGGAAGGCGAGAGCCTTGAGAGCCTCAGCCTCTGTGCCCGAGGTGTGTACGAGGCTGATCAAGTCGGTCTCGAAGTTTTCCTACCGGCACTTGGCGTTAGTCGACGGCTGGAATTTGCCACGTTTATAGAGAGGGCGATATTACCTGAAGGACCCCTTCAGGAGTCAACATTTTGTCCCTGTCCTTGTAAAAAGCCTCGGCTTCAATTTTATGAGTGATGTGGCTGAATGATTGCTTTATGGATTTGGTGTCATCGGGGTGGCAGATGACATGGAACCAGTTGTACTTGGCATCGTAGGTGAACTGAGAATTACTCTGCAACGACAGGTCAGTAACGGCATGGAAGTACAAGAGTGGGGTTTGCACCTACGGGGCTTGCTTCTTTCAGCTCGGCTATGATTCGCTCAATTGCTTTGGGCTTGAAGATCCAAACGCTGAACATATACCACTCTGATCGCGGCATATGTTCCATTTTTGCGATTGACATGCCAAGCCACCGGGTCGATGTATCTCTTGATCTTCAGGACGAATTGAGCTATACTGAGGGTCAGGTGAATGAAATGGTTATTTGTGCGAGGTGGGGAGTATTGGAGGTGAAAGATGGCAGGTCTCATGGTGAACACTTCCACGCCGATGATGATGATGATGATGATGATAATGTATGCGTACCTACTTTTCAATCCTGCGGCACGAAAATTGCGTGGCCGTTATTTCTCAAGTTATTTAATGGAGAGAGGCCCAGTGGTCAGCACATATGACCGTGGAGAGCACCCAAATGCGGAAGCAGCACTCGTGCATTTCACTTGTGCGTTTCCCAACTAGTGAAGAGGGAAAATATACAGAAGGAAGGACCTGAGTAGGCCCTTCCGACAGAGTGCTACCGAATGCGGTGCTAGGCAAGGCTAGAAAAGAAAGAGTCACAGTGGGGGCTGTGGGGGCTGTGAAGGTCGGTCGGGTGTCGGGAAAGGAATGTTTTAGAGGTGAACGGGCCGGGCCAGAAAATATAACAGCTGCCTAGTAAAGTACGCGAGGCACGGCGATGTATGAAAGGTGATGAATTGCTTAGGGAAGCTAAAATTTATCAGCCCGCAGGCGGGAAATCTATGTGGCATAGAGTGGACCACCACCGCTGGGAGAATATGGATATAGTGGATCTGCAGGGGCCATTTGGAGGATCTGCAGGGGCTATTTAGTAGACCCGGCTGGACCAGGTTTGGCCTGTGCCCAGCACATAAAGAAAATGCTAGAATTTGGGAGGGAACCTGACTAAGTAACGGCGCCGTGCCTTCCATTTGAGTTAGAAGTAAGTGGTGGGACGGAAGGCGCTTAGGGGTCAACACATGTAAAGTGAGAGCCGCAACACAGAAACAATACCAATGTTACCTCTCTTGCCGCTAAGGTTGTGGCTTAGAATGGCAATATTACTAGACTGTTATCGTACGTGACAAAACGGAGGTATAACTAGTAAAAACAATAATGCTTCACTTTCTACTCTACCGAGCCCCAACCAAGACAATGACCCTATTGTTGGTTGCCTCTACATCACCACATGGGTATTCTAGAGCAGTCTTGCCATATGGGCCAGTTCTTCAACTTCATGAAGGCCCTTGGTGTCAAAACACCCTTGCTCACCTCGCGAGAAAGCATTTTCACGCTTGTCGAAAATCTTGTTGTTCCCCCGACCGACGACCACCAGCCCACCGCACCCGAAAAACCGGTTGAGAAGCTCTCCGCCTAGGTCACCACTACCTCTGACCCATCATGGTCATGGGACGGCATTCGCACTCTGCTCGAGGCGTCGACACGCCGTCGTCAGACGCCTGGTGTCACGGTGCGCACGTGACAGGGATTGACTCAATTGGCCGCATTGTATTTAGAGTGTGGTCTATGCGCACGCCCACCATGTCCCTGCACCAACATCTATTTCCCCGCGCCCTGCGCGGTCCCTGCAATAACTTCCTCTTTTCCTTCCTTAGTTTAAATCTACACTCGTTACTGCCTTTAACCATTGACATTCCTACTGCGTAAGGCGGACCGTCACACCTAGGGCTCCTCCCACCCACTGCGAATGGACCTCGTTTGGTCCCGCATCGCACTACGAGGAGGCGTCGGCGGCCGAAACCATAACCTCGACGAGCGAGAAGTCGGGGGCAACGCCAGACACGAGCGAAAAGGAAGATGCTCCAGACACGAGCGAAAAGGCAGACGCTCCAGACAAGAGCAAAAATTTAGAGGCAACGCCAACGCCAGACACGAGCGAAAAAGCAGACGCTCCAGCCCCGTCACTACATGCTGCTTCCGCCGAGGCCGGCCAACCGTCCCCCACCAATGGGGATACGGACGGGCATGACAACACCACGTCCGGCACGAGCCTGGAGATAACAGTCACACTCTATACGAGCGAGAAGTCAGAGGCCACGCCCGACACGACTGATGAGGAGGGAGGAGGAGACGCCACAACGCCCGACACAGGCGAGGACGAGAGAGATACGCCACACCCTCCCCAGTAGAGGAGGAGGAGGGCTCTCTCGGGCCCGCTGGACCTGCCCAGAAGTACCCACGCTTCGTCCTAGGTATGTGCTGTCTTTTCTCTCTCTCTCTCTTTCTCTCTTGGGCCTTAGTCTCCGACTAACCTGTTGCAGCCCCGAGCTCGCCCTTTTGCTCGGCATGTTGTTGCTGGTGGGCATCCCCCCCGACGGCGATACAAAATGGAGCCCGTCATCATCGATGGCATGGGCTTCAGAATTTACCCTCATCTCGCCCCCACCCTTGCTAGTAAAGAAGGCGTTTTTGCCATGACCGATGGAGCAGCCCGCGGCGCTGTTAGGCTGCTCAACCCTTCTCCCCAGGATCTAGCCCCAAGGCAGCCAGCGCCTTGCACGGCCTTTCGCAGCTCTTAGCGCCGCCGCGACGCTGGCCATCATCTCCGCGTGCCGGGCACTATCCTCCTCCACCTCTGCGTCCGCATACAGAAGCTACAGCAGCACCAACAAACCCGCCGACCAACAATTTGCTCGCTGGTGACGAAATGTCGCGCACAAAACGGCTCACGGTGCACCTTTGGTGCGAAATATTCAGCAGCCCTAAAGAAGAGAATTCGACTAGGGACCTCCCAACTCGACTGGTTGCCAGACTTCCGAGTGCTACCTCCTGACCAATTGAGGTACTTGGTACCAAATTACCTCCACCGGTTATATGCTAACTAAGATATGTTGAATTCACCATATGGAATCTTCTAGTAGATGATAATAGATTATTCAGCTGATGTGAGCCAAGATTGCCACACAGCTCGCCACCACTAATATGTATAAAACCTGCACCTCTGGCTATGCCAGAGGGGAGGAGAGGAGAAATTGAACAGAACATAACATTCCATTTTTTTCGGTCTGAATGTAAAATCCAACAAGATAGGGATTGCTGCCTAAGACTACAATTGTGAAAGCCACGGTTGAGACCGCCAGTCCACGTCGCCCTTTATACCGAATTGTGAGCAGCTTTCAAGTTTTCGTTCTGAAAAATACCAGAATCATCTTGTCTGATGTCAACAGACGATGCAGCCCCGTCATCTAGCAGTGATCGTGAAGAGGTTGATGAAGCACGGCAAGAGTATGAGGAAGGGTACGAAGAGGCATACGACGAATAATCTACCTGTTCAAGTCTTTTTTATTTCGGGGATGCATGTTGGCTGTTTGGGTGGAGAGATGTCTTTGTCTTAGTTCGTTGGCTGGGGTTTCAGCCTCGATCGAGTCGCAGATACCATTAACAAACTCCTGCTCGTCCGCTTCCGGAATCCCCCAGCGCGCAGCCAATGGTCTCATATGTGCTATAGTCGCGACGACGGGCGGCGGCGCATCCATCAGGTCGACGAACCTTCTCCTTACCGTCGTTTCCCTAGACATGGTGGCGGTGCCCTGGACGAGTTCGGGGTATTGGTAGACGGCGAAGCGTGTCTCCGTCTCGTTGGTTTGGGTCGTTGCTCTCCTCGTTGCTCTCCTCGGGCTCCGTCTCCTCGGGATCTCTGACTGACACAGGACGCGGGTTTAGAGGATGTTAAGGGCCTAGCCGCCAGAGCCCAACGCACTCCAGGCCGGAGATACTCCATGGCCTGCACGCGACGTGGCTGCTCTTTGACAAAGCCCATTTGTTCAAATACGGCTTGCCCATAGGCATCTCCACTGGGAACTCCGGTCTGTCTATTGACGTATCGGTTCATGCCCTGGTATTCCGCAGTGGTGATGCACCTTGTCTTTCTTGACACTGAAGTGCACAGCCTCGACGCCCTGCGTGCTGGGGTCCGACCCGTTGTTGCTGGCGGGCAGCAGCTCGGACCGTCGGAAGCCGAACTGCCACAGGTGTGCATGCCTACTACTCTGGTGCTTGGCCGTTTCTCGCACAGAGATGCTGATTTTTTCCCTTGAAATGGCTCGTGGCAGTGGGCGACCAGAGTTCTGGAAAGTCATCTCTGTTGGAGAGCTTGACAGGAATCCCGTTTCCTAGCCAAAGCGGGCTCTGCACTCGCTGTGCAAGGCAGCAGGCATGAGTGGTCGTGGCACTGGGTGGTCGTGATGGGCAAGAGCACTGCTGTATCAAACGCCGCTACAGACGACGGGATCAAGGAGCCTGAAGAGGAGGACGCGACTACAGAGCCGGAGGAGGAGGCGATCAAAGAAGACAAACAAGGCAAACGCGCCCGTTGACATGTTGGACATGTTGACGCCTGGGTTGTTTGAGGAACGGTAGGCTAATTCCCTCAGACGTTATGCTGAAGGGTACCGACAACACACAACGGTTGCGGACTCGTTTCAGCAGGTCGGCCCACCAAAGGGCTGCCTCCTAGCGACGTCCAAAGCCGATGGCTTCGTTGTGGAGTTCGCTAACGCGATCCGCGAGGTAATCGCTGTGGTGAAGGGCAAGGTTGTCAAGATGGGCGACGTGACGGAAAAGGGAATCGCACCTACAGCAGCGGATATTCTGTCTCGTCCGGATCCGGCTAGTTCGACGGATGGGGCTAGTGAAGGAGCGTACATTACAGACGGACAATGCAGAGGCTCGGAAATGCAGCGAGGTGCTCTGAGCTGCAAAAAGCTGGTGGCAAAAGCAAACTCCCTAGGCCGAGACCCGAGTCTAGAATCTGGACGACCCGTGCTTTACCAGCGCCTACTTGGGGCTTCCTCGCAGCAACTGAAGCAAGCATCGAGGCCGGTGACGACGCCCAAATATCGCATCAGGCCCGCCCATCACTACCTTCTTGCCCTGCCACGCAAGGAATTCGCTGGCATTCTTTTACTGCCAGGCCTTGGAAACATTTATTATTGTGAACGCAGCCAACGTTACGTCTCTAGCAGATGAACTGTGGAAATGGGTTTGCAGGCTTGAATGCCATCAGTGCTGGAACTCGTCTGTCTCGCTGACGGCGCCGCTGGTACTACAGGCCAGGAAGCCAATTTGCAGCCGCTCTTTGGCACTGGCACCCTGGTCAGCTTCCCGCAGAAGGCCGGAAACTTGGCTGTGATCCCGGCTGGCAAGATACCCATCCTGACGGCAGCCCACAACTTGTTCACGGACGACGGCCGCAGCGTCTCACGCATCGACATGGGCTTCCCCGGCAGCAGCTTGTCGAAGGAGGTCTCAGGCCGTGACTGCTTCGTGTTGCAAAAGTACAAGGCGGGGAATCGTGTTAGTTCATGCGACTACGGCCTCATCCTCGTCGATGCCGTCGCCGCGCAGGAAGGAGAGGAGGGAGTGCAGGCGGCGGGTTCGGCTTCAACGCCTACATGCTCAAGCACAATCTCCTGACGCAGCAAGTCTACGTCTACGGCTACCCGGCCGGAGCGCAACAGCTGCAGGGGGACGTTTCCAAGGTCGAGGATATGGAGGATGAGGTCGTCCAAGGTCGAGGATGTAGAGGATTAGGTTATCAGCCATGGCGTGGCCACCAGCCCCGGTGTCAGCGGCGCCCCCGTGTAGATTAAGGACCCCGCGGGCAACGACGTCCCCGTGGGGATACAGTGAGTTGCACGTTTCGTTCTGTTGCTTTGCTTGTGTTTTATGCGTAGGCTCATAATATTTGTGGCATATTCTTTCTCTACTGCCTGGTCCTTTGTTGCTTGGTTCTCTACACCCTGTTCCTGTTACTCACTGTTGGAGGCTTGTATCCCTCTGTCGTAGGCCTGTTGCTTCCCGCCGCATATCTTCTATGTCGAGAATCCAGGCATGCCTGGGCTACACGAAGCTGCGCAAGCGGGTGCCAAGGCGTTGCCAAGGCAGATGTACAGCGCTTAATTCCCGAAGGAATCAGTGCTGGCACCTTGGACAGCCATGGCCGCACGGCGCTGTACTTGGCCTCAGCGGCTGGTTATGACGACCTTGTCGCCTACCTCTTGGCCCAGCCTTTGGCAGCGGCAGACACTCGGTGCGCTTCATGCCGCTTTGGTGTTGAGTGTGTGTGCGAGAAGTTCCGTTCACGGCCCCGGGGACGTGGACCACGTTAATCATGCCTTTCTTGACCTTGTTAATGATGCATTCATATCGTATATCGATGCAGCGAGTGCGGGCTGCGTTGAGGGGGTTCAGGACGTTGATTTTGGCGTTTATGCTGTCGGTAAATAACACGATAGGGAGTGGCTGGTGTGCCCCGAAGTCCTTGAGTAGCTGATTGATCCATTGGGCGGACTGTGAGGCGGGTGTTGTTGAATTCACCATATGGAATCTTCTAGTGGATGATAAATACTAGATTATTCAGCTGATGTGAGCTAAAATTGTCACACAGCTCGCCACCACTCATATGTATAAAACCTGCACCTCTGGCATGGCCAGAGGAGAGGAGAAATGGAAGAGAACACAACACTTCATATTTTTTTCGGTCTGAATGTAAAAATCCAACAGGTGTAAGGTTCGTAAACTCTGCCTCAGTGGTGCTGTGTGCTACATAGGTCTGCTTTTTCGTCTTCCAGTATACCGGGCAGCCGGCTAGGAAGACGACGTGGGCGCCGGTAGAGTAGCGATGTAGGAGGTCGTTAGAGAAGGAGGCGTCGGCATAGTATTGATTTGACCCTATCTGATAACGATGAGCTGCTAGCGCTCCCAGTGAAGCGTCCCAACTTGGACACGGTGTCTTTGGGGACCGGTACTAGTCTGGTCTGGCCGCGGCGCGCTCACGTCGTTGGGGAGTATTATAATGTATTTGTACATCAAGTGCCCTCGCGCTCTATATTTATCTCGCAAGGTGGAATTGTTATGGCCAGGCGTTGGAGCGGCGGATAGCCCTTTTGCAGTGTAGGAGAGCGATCGGGGCTGGAATTATTCGCAACGCAGCCCAGTGGGCAGCCGGTCTTGTTTCCGACAGGACCTTGGATGCATACCCATATTGCTTACTGGCATTAATTAATTCTGCACCACTATCCAGACTTGGTTTGTTTGTTGGTTTCTTAGGGTGGTATGGGTCATATCTAGCTGATGACTTCAGCTATATGAGTGGGTTGAAAGACGCTTTTCAACCTGTAATTAAACAGGGTTGTTAGAAAGACTTGACAACTGGAATCTTTGTTAATGTTTCTTATTTCACAATTATTCTGTCCGAAGGACAATATTACCCTCAAACTTTCCAAAATTCCCGTGCGATAGGAGCTTGCCCTTTGTTCTATCTTCATAATTACCAACCCCAGCATTCTGTGGAGCCCGTGCTCCCTTACAGACAGACGACCCTAACAGTCGAGTGGTTTGTAATAGTATTATAATGGAAATTGGCTGAGATATAAGCGTTTAAATGCTTTCTGGCGTGGTGGGGCGTGCGTAAAGGTGGGCTTGCGTACGTACTACGCGAATTGCCCTTCAACCCCGCGTTGAATTTCCTCGCCCACCCCACAATTGCTTTTCTTTTTCCAATAATTATTCGTACCGTAGTACCTTCGACGAACCTACCGCTCTTCGTAGCTAACCTCCTTTCCTCTATAGTACCGTTTTGCCTGTTATGGCCAGGTTATTCGGTATCTATAGCAGAGGCGGCGGAGGCGGCTGCTCGCAAAGTTTGCCACACCTACGGCGTTGAGAAGGACATCGACCAATTCCGGTCATTCCGAGGCCCTCGACGGATCGTTCTTAATTACGCGGATTGCCGTAATCGCGGCAGGTAGTAGGTAAGTCCATTAGACCTATCTTCCTTGGTTTCCTTGCTAACTTCATTCCCAGAGAGCCGCGTCAAACGCAAGAGTTTCTGCAGCTGCTGCCGTAACCTGCAGACAAAGTCTCGCCCTTGCGCCTCGCCAGAATCTCACCTTTCGTTTGATAAGTCGGTATTCTTAACCACAGTCCAACGGCAATAGGGTAAAGACCAGGCTCTATTCCGGCAAGCCCTGAAAGAATTACGGCAGGCCAAAGTATCTATTTCGTTATGGGAGCTTCTTACGTCGAGATATACAATCAAACTGCCTCCGGCTCAGGTCCAGGCTTTTGATAATGCCCTCCGCATCTTCCCTATCAAGGCGTAGGTCAACGGATACAACCATTAGCACCTCCTAGGCCTACGAAAGGCGGTTGTACATGTAGACGAAGGCGTAGGCGCAGAGAGAGTCGAGTCCTCTAACGCTGGCAATCTGATCAAACGATTACCTCTTTGTATTGGTTACCGGGTCATGCTAACGAGAAACCTCTGGGCCAACGTTGGGCTTGTGAACGGTGCCCAGGGTACTATATACAACATGTCACGAGCCTTAGCAGGGCAAACCATAATGGCCCGTGCGCTCTCGGCACCCCACTATACCCCCGCACCCTCGATCGTACCTTTGTAAACTTTCTTTCTTTCTTTCTTTACTTTTAGAATCCTAAGACAATGGTATAGCCTTACTAGCGACTCTTCTTCCTAGATGCTGTTGACCGCCGTCACACGACATCTCGTAGGCTGAAGGCGCTAACGTGCTTAAAGACCTGTGAGGACCCGTCTACCAAACTGGCCCTCAAGCAGCCAGAGCCGCCCAGAACCCCCGGGCCTATCAGAAGCCTCCTCGAGGCCCCACCTACCCCACTGATAGATGAAAACTTATTCGCGAGCACGCGACGCGTTGTCGGACTTTTCTTTCTTTCCCTCCTCAGTTTAGAATCTTCGTCGATAGCACCCAATAGACTGAGTTCACCTCAATGCCTTGCCCTGGTTGTGACAGCACGAGTTGTCATAATGAGCGGCATACAGCGGGTAGGGCCTTCGTCAACAAACTCGAAGGTAAATAGATCCGAGAGCTCCAGAGCACGGCGGTCACCACCACGGGTAAGCATATAGTGGCTGAGAAGAATATCGACCATTGTACGGAGGTGGCACTCTGGCGACTCGCCAGACTGTGCCCAAAGCTCCTGGCATACCCGCAAAAGCTGTGGCTCTGTATACCCATCGAGAAGTGTATCGCGGCCTTTGTCAGCATAGTTGGCCTTGTCGCGTGTCGCATCCCGGCGCTGCAAAGCCTTGATATAGTCTCGTACGCTATGCTCGCGGGGAGACGGGTGACTGTTCATCCCCAGAGCCCTCTGGGTGTAGTAGAGGTCGGTAACGGCTGTAACATAGCTCCGGACCGATCGCCATGCAAGCCGAGTGGCCGTACGAGGTGTCTCGGCAGCCGTTGTGTAGCTCTTGCCTCTGAGTGGCCGCTGTGCTACACACTCGACTAGGAAGAGGAGGAGCTTGTCTTCTGTAACAGTATCCCGGTCATGATACTGCTTAGAAGTACAGAATTGCTGAAACTCCCGCTTCTTTGGCTCGTAAGCGGTGACGGTATTGCTCGGCCTCTCTTGCTGGATTAACGAGTACACATTCCGTGTGTTGGTACGTAGCTCGGCGTTATTTAGAGCAGTCCGCTCAGAGCCCTGTATGCCCTCCTGGAAGTCGGTTGCTTTTACTGTGATTGAGTCTTGTACTTGTGCATTCTTCCGCTTCGATATACGGGCCAGGGCTGTATGTGGTGCAGGTGGAAGGAGGGCAGGAGGGCAGGAAGGCAGGAGGGCAGGAGGGCAGGAGAACAGGTAGGAGCGGAAGACGCGTGAGGGCCAGAGACCGCGTATCTATAGCGCGAAAACAGGGGCCCAGTCATCCAGACTAGCCCTGTTGCGGGCGAGGCCCCCTGTACGCCAGGGCCGCGGCTGCCTACTAGGCTCGATTTGGCGGTGGAATCATCAAGGGCTGCAGAAACATAAGCTGGTGGGCTAATATCGCATGCTGACCGGTGTGGCCAGATTGGGTAATACACGGATATAGTGGGCCAGATGCGCAGTCAGCGCCGATCATCTGCAATCAGCTGCATGGTCTATACCAACATCTTCTACCATCTTTGCCTATATCTACAGTATTGTTGTCACAACGTACTTGCGCAACGCCAGCGAATATCCCAAGAGCTTCCTACTACTTGTTGTTGCGCCCTCTCAGCTGCGCGAGCGATTCTTTCGCGTTGTCGTAGCTCTAGAACGTCCTCTCCACCTTGCGCGAGAATGAAGTTATGGAGCCCAGTAACAGCGTATACGATTTGTACCTGCTTCTCGATACTGTACTCTGCTGGTATCTCTCGGATTATTTTAAATCTCCTCTTCAGAATGCCAAAAACTCTCTCGACGACAGTCCAGATGCGTGAGTGCCTGAGATTATACAGCTCTTTCTTTGTCTCTGGCGGGCGCTGACCATTCCTCCAGTCCTGTAGATGATACCGAACATTGGAAAACGGTAGTACGATACCGTTTTGAGTACCAAAGCCAGCATCACCAACGTAATACCGATTTGAAGGAATTTTGAAGGAGCGACTACAGGCCTGATGGAGTAACAACGCGTCGTTGATAGAGCCCTCCGCTCCGGCGAGAACGTAACTGAAGGACCGGTCTTGCCGTACCGCTGCGAACACGTTCTGCGTTACCTGGCCTTTGCGGTTATACCAGCGGACTTGCTCTGGCGCCTTTATGTGCGCCCTGATGTGAGTGCCGTCAATTGCCCCAATACAACCGTTGAACGCTAATATCTTGGGGTTGAGTTCGATCGCTGGATCAAGCCAATCGTCCTCTGGAAGCCGCACGTACGCCCTATGAAGCGACACCATCATCGGGAGGATTATCGCAAACGACCTCGATATCGAGCTCTGAGTTATCCTGAACTTATGGGCTGCAGCACGCTGGTCACAGCCGCGGCCAAGGATATACAACACCACCATAACCTTCTGCGCCGCGGTTTGATACCGCGTACTGCGGAGGCCCTCGTGGACCTGCAGCCAACGCACCAGGGCCGAGAACGTTGCTTTATCCATACGGAAAAGCTCTTTGAACTGCGTATCTGATCCAGTTTGAAGACTCCTGGCAAATCGTTGCGCGCCGGAGGGCCCCTCTGGATGGATAACTTGGCAGACCGCAGGTCGTGTTCTGGGCTGGCAGTCCTCCTCCGCAGTCCCTAGCAGCGTGTGGGCGGCCAGACCGGCGGCCAGAACGAAGAAAGTGCCCATAATGGCCAGGTAGGTTTGAAGAGATCTTTATTTGGTGATAAACTGTATGCTAACAGATCGATAGGTATTATTCTTCCCGTTCCACGCCATCGCCGCTCTCCCCAACAGGGCCAGTCGACCGCGAACCGGCTAGAAACCAGGGCTGAACCGTTCAATTTCGCGGTTCGCGCGAACCGCCTGTTCAGCTCTCCAACCGGCAGAAAACACCAGAATCACCCCTGTTTTCTAACCTCCTCCGGTTAGCCGCGACCTGCATTAGCGCGGTACATCGCTAACAAGGGCCTGTGGCTTCGAAATTTGCGAACAGGCTGTTCGCCCGACTTGGCCAGCGAAATTGCTGCCAGAAACGGGATAGTGGCCCTCGAAAAATCAGTCTTGGCACACCTGAACAGCCTTGGCAGTCCGAACCGGCTGTCCTGCTCGCGAGAAGATCTGACCCTTGGCATGGCAAATGTGCTTGGCATGGCACATGTTTACCAGAGCCGGTCTAGTTACTTGGCATAGGAGATGTGTTAACCAGAGCCCGTCGTTGCTTTGGCATGGTAGATGTGTTTGCCAGAGCCGGGTTCAGTTGCCTTAAACGTGTTGTCTTAGACCTAGGGAGCGCGGTCGCCTGCTGCTTGTCGACCTTGTCGGGACCGGGGGAGCGTGGCGAGACCTGAACCTTATTGAGAGCCGCTCTGTTTGACACTTGCCCACTTTAGTCCTCTATACATAACCCTAACCCTGTAAAATTCAAGATTTTGCCGCCACGTAACAATCAGTCTTGCCGTAGCGTGGGCCCGTGCACTGCCCGCTCCCACAGCCTGTACAAACAACTCCCCACAGAATAACTCCCGCACATGAACACCTTTTCTTCTGGCTACCGCCGTTACACTTCTACCCTCGGAATCTTGCTCTGGCATCTTGCTCTGGAATTGGCTGCACTGCTCTTCTCTCTGCCGCCCTTGCTTCCTTGTGTGTTTGAGGGTGCCTGTTGGGTAGGCTGAGGGCGTTGGCTGTGAGAAAGTTGGCTGTGAGCACCGATCTTCGCGCATCTTCATCCATAGCGCATCGCGCATCATCATCCATAGCGCATTGAGCTATTGCCCATCTTCCTTACATACTACCCAATTGCGCTTCATACTACATTGCGCTTCATACTACCCGATCGCGCTTCATAGAGCACGCCATCTCATTATTCTCAAAATCGAGCGCATCGTTTCGCACCTATTCGCCACTTGCACGTTTCGCACTCATTCGCCACTTGCACGTTCGCACCTCATTCACCACTTGCACATCTCACTCTGCATCTCGTCGAGCACCATGGCTCCTCGTACAGACAAAAAGAGGATACCAACCCTAGCACGGCAGCCCCAGACCGCACCAGAGACAAATGAACCAGTCAGCAAGGTCAAGACGCTGAGAGCTCTAGGAGCCGAGCTCCAGCAGCAAATCGCCGAGTTTCAAATCAAGGCACCAGAGACGAATGAACCAGTCAGCGAGGCGAAGACGCTGGGAGCTCTAGGAGCCAAGCTCTAGCAGCAGTTCGCCGAGTTTCAAATCAAAGACGAGGTTGACGACAACGAGGAAGTCAAGAACGACGACCAGCGCGATGTTGACGATACGTACGATCTTGTCGACCTCGTCAAGGCGAAGCAGGAGAATAATCAAGAGTTCATTAGTCGATTGAAGAAAAGACTCAATAGCATAAACGACGCGGTTAACGACCTCTTTGGACAAGTCGGAGATATCAACCACGTACCGGGCAAGGCCGCCCAGTTGGGGGACGACATCACGAGCCTCAGAGGGCAACTCAGAGTGGCCATGGACGAGATCGAGAGCCGCAAAGCGCAACTCAGAGCGGCGAAAGACTTTGTCACAGAGAAGAAAAAACTCGATGATATCGAGCATGAAAAGCAGGCACATCTGGAGAAGGAGCAGGAGCAGGAGGAGCTTGAGGGGCAGGAGCAGCAGGAGCAGCTGGAGCAGCTGGAAGCATCGTATATTTGACAGATCGATGGCCATAAAGGCCTCGATATTCGGGTTTACTTCAACATTACGATGTCGATGATCATTAAGATCTCGCAAGGTCCACTAATTTGCCCACCCAAGAGTAGACACCACAGCCTAGCTTAGATAAGCATCTTTCTTCACTTCTCATTTCATATTTACTTCTTATTTCATATTCACTTCTCATTTCAGAGGCCCTTTGGTGCATCACACTAGAAGTAACGTCACGTAGCTGGTAATTCCTCGAGTCTAGAGTTCGCGGGATCAAGACTAGACTAATGAGTTGCTACTGATCCGGGCTAGAAATAGTGACGGTTACGCTGGAAACAGTGACGGTTACGCAGCTGGCAAATTCCTCCCGAGTCTAGAGTTTGCGGGATCAAGACTAGACTGATAAGTTGCTACTAATCTGGGCTAGAAACAGTGAGGTTACGCAGCTGGCAAATTGCTCCCAAGTCTAGAGTTTGCGGGGACCAAGGCTAGACTGATAAGTTGCTACTGATCCGGGCTAGAAATAGCGAGGTTACGCTGGAAACAGTGCCGGTTACGCAGCTAGCAAATTCCTCTGAATCCAGAGCTTTGCGGATCAAGACTGACAACTCGAGTAAGGGCCTGGAAACAGTGACGGTCATGTACTTGAAATCGACGAGTTGCTACTAATTAGGGGCCTGGAAAAAGTAACGGTTACGCAGCTAGAAATAGTGACGGTCACGCAGCTGGACACAGGCCAGCCACGCACCTGCTAAATTCCTCTGAATCCAGAGCTTTGCGCATCAAGACTGACAATTCGAGCAACGCGTTGCTGCTGATCAGGGCCGGAAATAGTACGTTACGCACCTTCCGGAACAATAGGAACACTTTTTTGGCCTGAGCCCTGGCCGAGTATAAATTACCCTTCCGTGCTCTCTCTCTTCCTTCCTTTCTTCTCTCCTCTTCAGCGGCTAGTCGAGCAATCTAAGCTTTCACTCAACAGTACAGTACCATCTGAAGCCTTCTTCGGCTAGCACAATACCATCTCAAGCCTTCTTCTTCACTGGCAATCACCAACACATCATCACGCGTCGGCACAGTAAGTAATCCCCATCCCACGGGTACATACCATCCACCAAGCAACACCATCTCACCACATAACACCCCAGTCAATCAGTCCAAGCCTTCTTCGGCTGCCACAGTACCATTTCAAGCCTTCTTAGGCTAGCACAGTACCATCTCAAGCCTTCCTTGGCTTCTAACCTTACCAACCAAAATATCATCTCGTGTCAGCACAGTAAGTAATCCCATCCCGCGGGTACATACCATCCACCAAGCAATACCATCTCACCACATGACACCATACAGCCACTACACCCGCCAAAATGGACGCCGACGTCACTTCCTTCATGTACGCCCACATTCACCCGGTCCTGCGTCTCAACAGAGACCTGGCGCCGTTCGGCGTATTTGTCGCCGTCACAGACATGCAGGGCGTAGAGAGAATGGGTGCTATTTACCATGAGCAGCTGGAGGCGGCCGGCCACCGCATGTCGGTGCTGGCCCTGCCTGACGTGGACGGCCCGGCCCGCGTGGCCCTCTTTTGCCGGTGCCTGCCAGATCTGATCCTGGCCCTAGACGTCCTGGTCCTCCACGCCGACGGCGTGGATATCATCTTTGCCGACGTTGAGTCGGCCCTATTTGCCCTGCGCCGCCGCCGCCCTGCCTTTGTGGTCGCTTACTGGGCCCCCACCTCCGTTGCGTCTATGTTCTTTGCCTGAGCAACGTCATGTTCTTTCTCGAGCGGCGTCTATTGAGTAGAAAGTAACGAGCGCATAAGAGGTTTGTGATGCTGACTTGGTAGCTAATTGTGGCTTGTGCTAACGTGTTTTGCGGCTAGCAGCTGGAGCAACGCAAATGAGAAAAAGAGGTTTTTTGGACGACGCTTTTTTAATGAGGGAGAGAGGATTTTTCCGGTAGTTGGGCCGGCATAATAAACTTGTTTACGCTGCATCTTTCCCTTGTTGTGATCCATTCTATGTTGTGATCCATTCTATATTGTGATGACCAACGTTGTGATAACCATACCGTTGTGATGACCATTATCTTGTTCAGCTGAACGGAGCCACCATGGGCGAGCTTGCGAGAGGTGGCGTCGAGAGGCTGTCTCTTTTCTTTTACCGTGAGGGTGCCAAAGTTGCGATTGGCTGAGGTTGAATTGCGAGACTGAAGTTGAATTGCGACGCCGAGGTTGAATTGCGAGATTGGGGAAAAAGGTGGTTTGTTTAGGTTGAAGGGAAAGTGGTTTATTTTGGGGGGGAGCTACAAAGTTGAAGTACCGCACGGATACGCACGACGGATTGAAAGCCATTCGACACGGACAAAAACTAGCCAATCCTGGCGAGAACGCACGATTTGTCGCCTTCCAGCTATGAACAGGTCCGCCGAATACTTGACGATTATTACCCTGTTAATATCTACTAATACCTCGCTAGGAACGCGTCTACGGTCGGGGTCCTCAACTGCAGCCCCACCGCCCGATCAACGAGACCCCGAACTAGATCCCTCCCAATATAAGAGATGCCGTGGTTATGACTTGGTCAAACATAACTAGCACCCTCGGCTAGCACCTCCGGCTAGCCACCCATACCTTCGAGCGAAGCGAGAACAGCTCGCGGCAGGCGCTGCCGGAGGTAAAGAACAAGAAAAAAAGAGGCTCCGTCCAGCTGACCCCTTCCTAACCTGTCAGGTAACCTATTTTGATGACCATTTCATGTTTTTTGCTCTAAAGCATTAATGTGGATTTGATACGCCACGGACACAGAACTGCCTTTCACGCTCGGCCCGCCTTTTACGCTCAGCCCGCCTTCTTGGCAATGAACTACAGAATCTCCTTCTAGGCAATAACTTTCATACGGCGTCCTACAGCTTCTTAACCTTCTCGCGCAGCTTGTAGTGGTCGTCGCTAGCTTAAGTTGCTACTAATTAGGGGCCTAGAAAAGTAACGGTCACGTACTTGGAATGGGCGAGTTGCTGCTGATCAGGGGCCTAGAAATAGTGACGGTCGCGCTGGAAACAGTGCCGGTCACGCAGCTGGTAATTCCCTCGAGTCCAGAGCTTTGCGCATCAAGACTGACAACTCGAGCAACGCGCAGGTCCCGAATTCCACAACCGCCAAGCTTAGCAAGCTTGGCCAGAATTAGGTCGTGGTTCACAGCCTAGAAGCCGGCGCGTATTATCACAGACGCTCTTGGAATAGAGGAGTTGTTAGGGCCTGGAAGTGGTAACGGTCACGCTAGAAACAGTGCCGATCACGTAGCTGGTAATTCCCCGAGTCCAGAGCTTTGCGGGATCAAGATTGACAACTCGAGCAGAGGCCTGGAAACAGTGACGACGCACCTAATAAATTCCCCCGAGTCCAGAGCTTGCCGGGATCAAGACTGACAACTGGAGCAACGGCCAGGTCCGGAGTTCCACAACCAGCTGGCTTGGCCAGAATTGCGCTCGCTGTTCACAGCCCAGGGGACTGGAAACAGGCTGGTCGCGCACCTGGTAATTCCTCCGAGTCCAGACCTTTGCGGGCATCAAGACTGACAACTCGAGCAGGGGCCTGAAAACAGTGCCGACGCACCTCGTAAATTCCCTCGAGTCTAGAGCTTGCGAGGAGGTGGCTTGAGGGGTATTACCAACATGTTCTTGTGAGATTTGCTGCGATGCAGGTTACCCCTCTGCCTTACTTTAACCACAGCGAGATTATCACTCATGAGCTTGGAAAACACCCTGTACCAAGGAAATGCAGCATTAAAATTCGTACTAGTCTAGTGATGCGAAAAGACAGAGATAAGGGAAACAGTTCCGTCTTCTCACGCAAACGGTTCCGTCTTCTCTTGTCATGGCTACCATATGCGCTCGGGGGCTCGCGGCCGACTACCTAGACCGTCTCTCCAGAAAGAGTCATACGGATAGGCTTGTCCATGAGAACAGCGTGGCCGAGAATGGTCACGCCGCTAGCGCCGACCAGCCAGAACATGGTGCCGACGGGCGAAGCGTAAAGAGCGACGGGGACGGCGATGATGCACATTGCCGTGTAGAGCTGCTTGGTGGTGAGCCGCTGCGAGCCAATCTCGAGATCGCGGCCGTCCAGCGTGCCAATCAGGAACATGCTGAGCGTGACAAGGACGATGTCGAAGAGTAGAGCCTTGTTATTAAAGATGGAGTAGAGAGACAACATGACAAAGACGACGGCATAGTTGCTTGAGAAGTAGCCGGAATTGAAGCTGATACGCGCACGCGCCTCGGCAAAGCTGGCGGGCTTGAATATGCGTTTAAAGTCAAAGAAGTCGGACAGCGGGCGCAGATTCGCGAAGCGGCTGCCGAGTGGTCCAAAACGCATGCTTGCGAAGCGGTCGCCAAGGTTCAGGCGCGACGTCAGCGCGTCTATCAGGGTCTGGACGCGGAACATTTTGGCGGTTGGCTGGCAAACGAGGCCCAATGATCTGATTGATGATTGAGGCGAGTGAAGAAGAGTCTGAAAGGGGCGTGGTGAGAATCTGTCAGCTGTTAGAGAGGTCGACGCGAAGACGGAATACCGAGTTTGATTGCGTGTCCGCGACGTAGAACGCCGCACTTGCGGGCTCAATCAGATGCGGGCCCAATCAGACTAGAGGCTGAGCAAAACGTACCAGAGGGGGCACCAAAGGGGGGCAGCTAAATGTCGGCACGCAGGCAGAAATATGAAAGCCTCGCTGGCCAGATGAGAGGACGAGGCTGTTGACGTTGACGTGTTGAAAGAGACACGATGGTCTTTGTTCGTTAGAGAAGGAAAAGAAGAGAGAGAAGATAGCGGGGCAAAAGGCGGGCAAGTCATAGTTTTTAGTCATCGAGCTTAAGTCATTGGTACCTGCCCGTTGAGCTGGCAGTGGGGCACAGCTGCTGCCAGCGGCAGTGGCAGCCGCGTCATGCAGGTTTGGCTATTTACTAGCTCCACACCAGCATGCAAGGAAAGGAAAGAGCACCATGGGCAGTGGCAAATACCAAGGGCGTGGCGAGCACCAACTGGCCAGGCCACTGCCCATTGGTGCTCTTTCCTTACATGGCCTGCATGGCCTGGCCAGTTGCTCTTTCCTTAGACAGCAAGCCACAGATCGCGCTATATTGCATTCGAATACATGTAGGGCCTGGAAACAGTGACGGCCACGCAACTAATCAGGGGCCTGGAAATAGCGACGGTCACGCAGCTGGTAATTCCCTCGAGTCCAAACCTTTGCGGATCAAGACTGACAACTCGAGCAACGCGTAGGTCCCGAGTTTCACAACCAGCAAGCTACGAATCGCGCTATATTGCATTCCAACACATGCAGGGCCTTGCGCATGGTACCGAGGCCCGGTACGTGCTGCACCCCGACGGCGAGATTGTGGGCGTCGTGTAGGCGATAAGTTCCGCCGCTATCCGCGCGTGCTGCTCAACCGCTTCTCGCCCGCCGACGTCTCCGGAAGGCTGCGCCGCAGCTGCACAAGTGGCAGAAAGATACGAACTATTGAGGTAGTCTCTACCCCGGTCGAGATTGTAATACCTCTCTAACTCCTAAAAGAGGACGATCTTTTGCCATTTCGCCGTCTTCTTGGTTCATCCCGACCAGCCTCGCTAGCACCCTCCTCGCTAGCACCCTCCTCGCTAGCACCCTCCTCGCCATCACCCTCCTCGCCATCACCCTCCTCGCCATCACCCTCCTCGCTATCACCCTCCTCGCTATCACCCTCCTCGCCATCACCTATGCCGACGCCTCCTTCGCTGACGACCTCGTACATCGCTACTCCACAGGCGCCCACGTCTTCCTAGCCGGCTGCTAAGTATACTAGAAGACAAAGCAGACCTAAGTAGCACAGCACCACTGAGGCAGAGTTCACGAACCTCACCCGCCACACAGTCACCTCACCCGCCTCACAGTCTGCCAAATGAATAAATGAGCTGCTTAGAGACTTTGGGGCACACCAGCCGCTAGGGACTTTGGGGCACACCAGCCGCTAGGGACTTTGGGGCACACTAGCCGCTCCCTGTTGTGTTGTTTACTGACAGCATAAACGCCAGAATCAACGTCACGAACCCCTTAACGCAGCCCGCACCAACACATCTGCCAGCCAAAGTAACCAGATTCCCTACCTATTCACACTTCACACACCAGCCATACCAAAGTAACTGGACCCGGCTCTGGCAAACACACCAGCCAAAGCAACTGGACCGGCTCTGGCACACACACCAGCTAAAGCAACTAGACTGGCTCTGGCAAACACATCTGTAGCTAAAGCAACTAGATTCCCTACCGGTTCATACTTCACACACTAGCTATACTAAAGCAACTGGACTCGGCTCTGGCAAACACACCAACAATGAAAGAATGACGCGCTACTCAGCCACGGAGGGTCAAGGCGGCTGGTGGCATAGGGCTATAGATTCTATATAAGTAGCCCACGGCCACTTCTACCCTCGCTTCTACATGCACACATTAACGAATCTAAAATGCGCTAGGTTTAGAAGCTGCACCGTCGATCGACTCTCGTCTCTCGGCACGAATCCTTTCTTATAGTGGTGTGCTGGGTTCTGGTTTGATCACTGGTTCTGGCTGATCACTGGTTCTGGCTGATCACTGGTTGTAGCTGATCACTGGTCTGGCTTAATCACTAGCCATTCAAAGCTCGAAACGTAGTCATCTTATACTTTGCCAGGTTACGGCAGACCTGACTGCCGGCTGAAGCATCATTTCCTCTAGTCCGCGGCCGAGTCTATGCGTCCGGGGCCTGCACTAGATAAGCAGCCCCGCTACGCCTACAAAGCCCTCTAACCAAGCGTATATGGTGCTAATTCTCAAACAAGGCAGCAGTTGTAGTAGTTGCTACCCCTGGGCAAGACGGCTCTCCTAACGAAGTCTCAGGTCTCGCCACGCTCTCTCGGTCTAAGACAAGGTCAACAAGCAGCGGATGACCACGCTCCCCCAGGTCCAAGTGTGTTCAAAGAAAGGGTCAACAAGCAGCGAGCTGCTCGACATGGCACGCGCCCGTGTCCCAGGCCCTAAAAGCGACGTCGGGGCTCGAGCTGACCAGACTTAACGGGGCTCCCTCAAGGCCAACAAGCAGCAGCTACCCCGAGTTGCAGCAGTTGCAACAGTGCAGCAGTTGCAGCAGTTGCCACCCCGGCAAGTTCGAATAGAGACGGCTCCTGACAAAGTCAGGTCTCGACCACGCTCTCAGGTCTAACATGTGTTCACCACGCTCCCTCAGGTCCAAGAATCTGACTGGAGTGCGACTCTGTCCTGGTGCCACTTTGATTCTACAAGACTAACAGCAAGAGCGAAAGCAACGGCAACAGCGATTCGCAGACATGTCGCAGCCCGAGCCCGGCTGGAATCAGGACCTTTGCTGGACCGACCAAGAGGAGCCAGGACACCGAGGAGCCAATTGACTATGCTTCTAGTCCTGATGCAGAGCAGGCGGACAGTTCGGCGTACAAAAGCGTGGAGACTGACCCACGTATGAAGAAACATGCCTCAATGGAAGGGCGCTCCGTCTCGCTGGATCCATCGAGGGCCATGGCGGTACAAACTCCCCAGTTCGTAGGCTGGTCTGTTGGTGCTGGTATGGCCATATGATGGCTTAGGAAGCTAGTTTGGTGCCTTTCGCCTGTGTGCCGACCGAGAATGGTAGACGGATATGTTGCACACATGTGTTAGCCTGCTTCATAACCCCCGCCTCATACCTCAACTTCCACCAGCCATCCCCCACGCCCACCTACCTACCTTGCCTTACCCACCTTAGCAGCCTCCCCTCGGCGCCAATCCGTTTCACGCGTCAAAGAGAGCCGGCTAGCAACATCTGATGCCACATAGCTTTTGTCTTGCGGCTCTCCCTATTCTATCTATCTCCTCTCCTCCCCCGGTTTCGAACAAACCCCCTCTCTAGTGCTTTTAGAAAAGATACAAAAAGGAAGCAGAGGCTCGAGGGCTAAGAAAAAGGCGTACTATGCCACTACACAGCGGAGGTGAATCTCACAATAATTCGCTCTGACCTTTTATCAGCCGAGCTATCCGTGATGACCAGGCAGCCTTGTGGCATCGTCGTCATACATATTCCGCGGTAGCCCAAATAGCGAGTCTTCCTCTAAGCAATGCAGTCATCCGTTTCCCACTAAAAATTATTCTGTATATCTTCTTTCTCTTTCCTTGTACGTGTTTCGGCGGCAAATACCCAGGTATTTCGGCGGCAAATCCTTGTAGGCGTTTTGGCGGCAAATCACTCTTGGCTGGCGGCTTTTTTTCCTTGGCTGGCGGCTTGTTTCCTTGGCTGGCTACTTTCTTGTTTCTTGGCTAGCAGCTTTTTTATTTCCCTCCAGGATACGACTTGTTTCCCCTCCAGGATACGACTTGTTTCCCTTCCAGGATACGATAATGAGAGGCCGAAATGGCGAGACAGATAAGAGGCCAAATGGTAGGATTGTATTCAGTGTGAAGGTGTTTTGGCAAGCGTCTTAACTTTGCCCTCGTCTATATGATGTTTGGTATCTTGATTCTCCGACTCAGCTGCTATCAAGAGTCATCCAAGTTGCTTCCGTCAAGATTTGTCTATCTACTATTCACTCCCGCCTGTCATGTTGAAGGATCAAACTGATATCTTGACATCTTAGTCTTTGTAGGTGTTTGGCGGCAAATTCTTTTAGGTATTTCGGCGGCATATCTCATTCTATGGCTGGTGGCAGCATATGGGTATTTTGGTAATCTTCGTCTCTAAGTCTTAAACTGATATCTTGAGATCTCTTCCTTGTAGATTTTGGCGGCATATCAGTCCAGGTGTTTCGGCAGCAAATCAGTCCTGGTGTTTTGGCGGCATATCTTATTCCTTGGTGTTTTGGCGGCAAATTAGTCCTTGGATTTTCGGCGGCATACATGTCATATTCCTTGGCTGGTCTTTCGGCAGCAAACCTCAGGCATTTTGGCGGCAAATCACTCTTGGCTGACGGGTTTTTTGTTGAGGCAGTCTATTCGACAGTAACAAACGTCTTCCCGGACAGAGTGACAAAAAGTGACATGGTTGCCAAGGCGCCAAGCCACTAGCCCAGCCGAAATCAGATTTTTACACCCTAGTTAATAGATTGAACGCTTCTTCAGTGGCTGCCCGGCACCCTCGCACTGTCAAGAAGCTGCGTAGCAGGGGCCTCGATGAATCCTTGATAACACTCCTCCCCGATGAATCGTCGACAACCCTCCTCCCCGATGAATCCTCGACAACCCCTCCCCCCGCAAAGACCACCGCCCGGCGAATCCTCGACAACCCCTCCCGCGAAGACCACTCGAGAACCAGCGACGCTTCGGATCTGGCGAGGATATTTGGCAAGTCCCATTTTGCGCGTTGCTTGGCTGATTCTGCCCGTTGTTGCTTGGCTGATTTTGCCCGTTGTTGCTTGGCCGCTGTCTTTTGTCCAGAAACCGAACCGTGCTGACCGCCAGCAAACCACTACCACTGCCCGCCGCCTGCTCCCCATTGCCCGCCGTCTCCAGTGCCCGCTGCAGTGCCCGCCGCAGTGCCCGCCGCAGTGCCCGCCGCAACGCCCGCTCCATGGCTCTGTTGTCCAAGACTCGGCTACAGAGCCCGGCGACCATGGCCATGACGAAGGGAGGTAGAAGAAAGAGCACGGCCCAAGTCAAGCAAAGCAGCCGGGCCAGCGGCCAAAGTCGAGCAAAACAGCCGGACCGAGAAAGGCTGCCAAAGTCAAGCAAAACAGCCGGGCCAGCGGCGAGCAGGCAGTCAAAGTCAAGCAAAACAGCCAGGCCAGCGGCGAGCAGGCGGCCAGAGTCGAGCAAAACAGCCGGGCCTAGGATGAGGCGCGGTCATCACGGTAGACGGCGGCTGACGAAAGGCCGGAGCGAGTTACCGTGAGATACCTTCGCCGTGCAGTGGCATAGCATGCCCTTTCCTAGCCTTCGAGCCTTTATGGCCTACGCCTCCCGCGCCCTGCCGCGCGCTGTCTCTCCATCAGGCCCGATTCGTCCACAGCGAACATTTCGGCTGAATAGCGTCACCTTCCCAACGGTCGAGTCTGGGTGGCTCACTCCATTGCGCGGCCTTGTGGTGCAACGGCCTTCGACTGCCGGCTAATACACGACGTCGAGACCAGATATCGCATTCGAGGGCTAGGAACCACTACATTTCGTCGAGGTACAGGTTGGGCTTGTCTCTGAGCAAGCCAGAGAGCTTCTACCATGGTTGCTGGAAAAATGCGTGTGAGGTCCCAGACTTGGCGCTAGAGCCCATGGTTTGAGAAGAACGGCATTGTACTTAGGCCGACGCTTCGAAAGAAGATCACCGGTATCGACATATCGCCTTTGCAGTGTGTATGACAGGGCCATGTCGGCTTCGTCTGCGACCATTTTGGCGCACGAGTTGGAAACGAGACAATACACCACAGCCATCTGCTGCGGGGCGCCGAACCATGGCAGAGGACACACTGGCAAGGCGCCGAACCATGGCAGAGACACTGGCAAGATGCGCCAGAGAGAATCCGGTTGAGCTGCTTTTAGCCCTGCGCAGTGCCTTTGATGGTGTTGATGTAGCACGGGCACCTCAAAATGGGAATTCTTTCCGAATGCAACTGGCAGTGATGTCTTGAATCATGATTATATTTAGTGTGAAGGTGTTTGCTATGGCGGTGGCCGTAATCAAGACGTTTGCCCTTCTACATATATGTAAACATGGTACGTGTGCAGGCCGTCTAGGCAAAGAGGGATTGATAATTTTGGTTCCCCGACTCGAACTAATATCTTGACATGTCAGTCTTTATACGTGTTTCGGCATGACATTCCTTG